CCCTGAAAGGGTTACTGTGCCCTATGGCAACAAGGCTCAGCCCAGAAGGGCCGACCCTGCCCAGGGAGAGCTGTGGTCCATTCTGTTGAGAGTGGAGAGCAAGCTGAAGTCTGCTCCACCCTGTCAGGAGCCTTGTGCAGAAGAGGGCAGCTCTGAGGGCTTCAAGACCAGTCTGTGGGAAAGAAAACCAATGGCTGGAGTTTTAGTTCCAGAAGCTGCAGCCTCCTTTGTTTTGTTTTGTTTTGTTTTTAGTTGTGGGGATGAAACCAAAGGGCAGGTGCATGCTGGGCACATGCAGCACCAGTTTGCAACATGGCCAGTTTTGAGCTTCCTCTTTTTCTTTGCTTTTGTTCAGACAGAATCTCATGTAGCCCAGGCTGGCCCTGGACTTCTGATTGTCCTGCCCCTATTTCAAAAACCAGGGATTACAGGTGACAATGAACTTGGGCCTAGCTTCCTTTTTAACTGGGCAGGCTGCAGGCTGTGAAGGGCACTCTTTGCTCTTCTCTAAAAATGAACGTGTTTAGATACCTTCAGTGGCAGAGCAGACGTGAAGCCCTGGTTCAATCCTCTCCCCCACCCACAACCTTTCTCTCCAAGGTCTTACATAGCTGAGGCCTGGCTCTGAGTCAGGGACTTCTGATCTTGCAAGTGGATTGAACCAGGGAGTTACAGGTCAGCCAAGGCCACACAGAGAGACCCTGTCTAGAAAAACAAAACAAACCAAAGAAAAAAGAAAACTATAGACCAATTTGTTTGATAAGCATAGATGGAAAAAAATCTTAACAAATACTTGCCAACTGAATTCAGGAACACATTTAAGAGGACCATACATGATGACCAGCTGGATTTCATCTCAGAATGGCAAGGTTGGTTTAAAATATGTAAATCAGTAAGTGCAACACACCATATAAGTAAACTTAAGGACAGAAACCACTTAATTATTTCAGTAATTATGATGCTGAAAAGGCATTTCACAAAGTTCAACATGATAAAAAGTTCTGGAGTCTTTAGGTATAGTATATTTCTCAAAATAATAAAGGCTATATTCAACAAACCTACAGCCAACATTAAACGGAGACAAAGCATCTCCTCTAGACCCAGGAACAAGACAAAGATGTCTACTCCCCTTTCTCTTTTTATATACTGCTTGACTCTTTTAAAAAATATTTTATTATATATTTTTATATTTTATTATGTTTTATAATTATAAATTTATATTTTATAGATTTTATTATGTATAAAGACATACACGTCTTCACATATATATGTACATATACATGTATAAAGAACATAATAAAAATATGATTGTATATTTTATTTATATATGTATTTTATTTATATAGAATAAATTTATACTGTTTTATTTACATGTAATAGGAATATATGACAGGTTTGCTTGCCTGGATGTGCACATGTATACCTGGTCCCCAAAGAGGTTGCTGGACCCCCTGGCACGGAGTTACAGAGGCAGATGCTTATAAACAATCATGGGGTACTGAACCAAACCAGGTCCTCTGCAAGAGCAGGGCAAATGCTCCTAACCACTGAGCCATCTCTCCAGACCCTCTCCATTTTTTCCCCTTTTTGGAGACAGGGTCTTACTATGTAGCTCTAGAGGTCCTGAAACTATGTAGACCAGGCTGGCCTTGAACTCAAAGAGCTTTTATCTGCTTCTGCCTCCCAAGTGCTGTGATTAAAGGCTTGTCCCACTTCTGGTTAGTGCTTGAATGTAGCTATAACAATTGGATAAGAAAAAGACATAAAAGAATAAAAAATAGAAAGGGAAGAAGCAAAACTATCCTTATTTGCAGACTACATGATTCTCCACTTAAAAGATCCTATTGCATCTACTAGAAAACTCTTGGACCTAATTAAGACCTACAATACATTTACCTTAGCTGGCCTGGAACAATGTAGACCAGGCTGTCCTTGAACTCATGGAGATCTGCCTGCCTCTGCCTCTTGAGAACTGGGATTAAGAGCATCACTAAGGAAATAAAACTGCCAGTAAAGAATGGGCAAATAAAATGAATAGTTTTCAAAATATACACGCATACACAAATGACCAACAACTATTTCAAAAAGTGCTCAATAACCCTGGCCATCAGGGGAATACAAATTAAAACTACTGAGATATTTTTCTCACTCCAGTCAGAACAGCTATCCTCATCATGTCTGACAAATGTTGGAGAGGACAGGGAGAGAAAGGGACCCTTACTCTGTCGGTGGGAGTGTGAATTAATACAGCTACTGCAGAAATCAGTTTAGATATTTCTCAAAAAATGAAAAATAGAACTACCATAGGACCCAGCTATTCCACTCCTGGGCATATACCCAGAGAACTCCATACACCAACCACAGGAAATTCTCCCTCTCCACGTTTATTGCTGCCTAATTCCCCACAGCAAAGAACTGGAATAACCTAGCTGTCTACCGACAAATGAATAATGAAACTTTGGTACATAACCCCCCACACTAAGTTGACAACCCTCAGGCTGGCATCCACAATGCATCCAGGAACAGACTTGCTTGGTCCATAACAAAACTGTCCCAGACTCACCAGCAGGTACATTCTGCTGGGAGAAAGAGCCTTGCTTCGTGGGAAACCCTAGTCCGTCATTCCCACCACTGATTCGGACCACATAACCCTCCATTCTTTCCCATAGTGGTCATTTGCTTCTCAGAGAAAATACAAAATTGCCAAGTGGTAGTGGCCCATGCCTTTATCCCAGCTGGCAGTTAGGACAGAGGTAGGGGGATCTCCAAGTTGAAGGCCAACCTGTTTTGGAGTTCCAGTACAGCCAGTGCTACACAGAAAAACTCTGGGGGAAAAAAAAGTACAAACTTTGCAGCTGGTGGGTGATACAGTGGACCCCCTTTGAGGTAATGTGTTAAAGAGCCCATGCCCAATTTTGATAAATTGTCGAATGCAACAGAGACCCTGATGCAAGCAGCTCCTGCGCTGGTGTGAGCAGTCTGATGACATTCCTGTCCCCAAGGACAGCACCTAGCTAAACATGCCAGGCTGAGGCATCATCTAATGCCTGTGCAACAGGAGGCAACAGGGTGACGAGTCCGTGGATGTGGTACCCAGTTGATCTTCAATAGAGCTAGGTGCCAGGGCAGATTGCACCCCTACCTGTGCCAGGCTGGCTCTTTGAGCAGATCACACACACCTTTCTGCGTGCCCAGTGCCCAAGTCCACTCTACCTCCTGCTAGAGAGAGGTGGCACTCCTCACGGGGAAATTGGAAATGGGACAATGGTCATCACACAGCAGGCCAGGCACGCTAGTCCCTAAGGTTAGTTTATCATAGCAAGGTCCAATTGGAGAAAAGGGCCCACATGCCCGCAGGCTGTAGCAGGGTTCTGGGGAATGCTCTATCTCGACAGCCTACTGACTGACGGGGTGTAAAGGCCAAATGACGCACCTTCCTACCTACCCTATTTTAACTACTATTTTTATGGCTTTCTGGCTGCCAAAGGCGTTTTATACATACTTCCTTCAGCCTGCTGGGAAAGCCTTTCAGGGACAGCTCTCATTTCCTGGATCACAAGAGGAGGTCAGGGGTCAACAGGACAGTACGTCCCCTGCCTGTGTGGCAATTACGAGGCTTTGGGGAAGGTCTTCCTGTGATCTGTGTTGTGTCAGCTGCAGTGGGATGCAGCTCAACTCTTAGAGCAGGGGGCTTTTCCAGAAAGCTCAGACAGCTAAGGTCCATTTCCCCCCCCAGTCTTGTTTTATGTAGCCCTGGCAGGCTTAGCATTCAGTGTAATCCAGACCTGAAATTCATAGTCCTCCTAAAGGGAGGGAGGTGTGTGTGAACAAAGTCCCAAGCATGGGTGTGCCTGGGCTTCTCAAGGGGGAGAGCCACATTAGATATGTGTGTATGTATATATACATACATACACACACATACATAATATATATATTTAAACTTATTACAAGTCATATCAGCAAAATGGTTGTCTCTTCACAGTAATAGTGAAGGAGGAGGTGGCGGCGGCAGCTCACCTATAACTCCAGCTCCAGGAGCCCTGACTTCCATCTTCTGGCCTCTAAGGGCACCTGAACTAAGGTGCACACATAACCACAGTCACATGGTGGCTCACAACCATTTATACTGGGATCATATGCTCTCTTCTGTCATGCAGGAGGCATACATGAAAATTGAGTGTTCATATGTATACATTAACTTTTTTAAAAGTTTTTTAAAATGAAATTAAAATATACGTAAATGGACAAAGGGTTACATCCAACAGTACAGAAACTCATACATACGGAAATAAGCAAAAAGCCACATAGGAATAAAAACTAACAAAACATCTACGTGCACACACACAATATACAAACCAGAATTGGGAAATGATTTAAATTTTGTGTGTGTGTGCCTGTGTGTGTGTGCAGGTGTGTATGAGCATACATAAGCCATGACTTGAATGTGGAGGTCAGAGAATTTGCAGGTCTCCTTCCACCCAATGGCTCCTGGAGATTGAACTCAGGTCCTTAAGCTTGCTGGTGGGTGTTTTAACCCAGAGCCATATGTAAATCTTTTTAGAATTTATCTACTTATTTAAAGACAGTCTATGTAGCCATGGCTATCCTAGAACTTCTCTAAATGATGGAATTTAAGGCATGCATCACCATACCCTTTAAACTGAATTAAAAAGATAGTAAAATCATATAGAATCATTCACTTGAGGGCTCAGCAGTTGAGAGAGCTTAGTTTCTTGTAAAGGTTCAGGTCCCAGCATGGCAGCTCACAACCACCTGTACGTCATTCCAGTTTATCTGACACCGTCTTCTGACCTCTGTGGGCCCCATGAGGTACACAGGCACACATGCAGGCAAAACACTCATACAAGTAAAATAAATAAATCTAAAACAAAGTTTAATTGAGATGGGTAAAGGATACAGGAAATTTTCAGGAGAGGAAATCCAAAGAATAGAAAGAAATGCTTTATCCTATTAGTAGTTACCAGGGAAACACATTGAAATTTCATTTCTTAGAATTAAACTTTATTATTGTGTGTGCATGTGTATGAGGGCATATACAAGCCACAGTTCACATGTGTAAATTAGAGGACAAGTTCGTGGAATGTGGATCTCTCCTTCCACCCTGGGGTGGAACCCCACATGGGGTTCTGGGATGGACTCAGCTGGTCACACATTCACAGCAAGTGTTATTACCTGCTCAGCCACCTGAAAATTCAAAGTTCCAAATACTTTCTGAGCACTGAGGCAAAGTGGAGAGAAGTCTGAAACTAATCTCATCTGGTGGGCTATAGTCAAATGCACACAGACCCAAACTACCGAATAAACTTATCTTCAGGCTCTGAGTACAACATGCTTATCAAACAGAAATGACTTTCGTGCTCACACTCGGGTCCCAAGACATCTCCTGTCTAGACAGACATTACGACATTCTAGTGTGTCTGAGACCAGCAGCATTGTGGTACCAAGCATTTAGGATAGTGGTTATTCCACCTGTATTTAGTATCTGAAAGTTTTTCAAAACAAACTAGAGATTTTTAGAAGACATTTATTCATTTATTTATCTATCTATCATTTAGGCTTTTTTTGAGACAGGGTTTCCCTGTGTAGCCCTGGCTGTCCTGGACTTCTTTGTAGACCAGGCTGGCCTTGAACTTAAGAGATCTGCCTGCCTCTGCCTCCCAAAGTGCCAAGATTACTGGGTACACCACCGTGCATGGCAAGAGACTTATTTTTATTTATATGTATGTATGTATGTGTATGTTTGCATAAGTATGTTCACGGGTGTATGGATACCAAAGGAGGCCAGAAAAGGAAGTGAGATTTTCTGGAGCTTAGGTTATAGCTGTGTGCAGCCCAATGTGGGTGCTAGGAATCGAATCCCTGTCCTCTGGAAGAGCAGGCCATGCTCTTAACCACTGAGCCATCTCTGCAGTCTCTGCATACGCCTTTAAAATTAATATTATTTTTACAGCTGGGTGGTGGTAGCACACGCCTGTAATCCCAACACTCGGGAGGTAGATCTCTAAGCTCGAGGCCAGCCTAGTTTACAGAGTGAGTTCCAGGACACAGAGAAATCCTGTTTAGAAAAACAAAACAAATTTATTTTTACGTGTATAAACCAGTGTTATGCGGATTTTGAAATAAGTGTTTCACTTTGTACTTGTACCCCATGTCTGACTGCCAAGACTCAAAGGTAATGTTCAGCCAGGTGCAGTAGCTCGTGGTGCTTGGGAGTCCTGAACAGAGGAGCCTGAGGCAAAAGGATCACTGTGAGTTTGAGGCTGGCCTGGACCACAGGGAGACCCTGACCAAAAAGGAGGGCAGTGTCAATTATATGGCAAAGTAAGCCACTTAATTTCATGTACCAAATTAAGTAGCTGATTAAATAATTCAAATAATCAATTCATGGCTCACAAGTAGCATGGAGAGGTAATTTAGTATACCTGCATTTTACCGCAAAGGAAACTAGTAAAGCTAATAAGTGCCTAGAAACTGACACTGCAATGAGATCAAAGCATGGTTATGTAAGGACAATAACTTACTCTAAAAAATCAGCAAGAAAGGATTATAGGTAAGTATATGAGATAAACGTCCAACAACAGGGACTGGAGACATGGCTCAACAGCTAAGAGCACTGGATACTCTTCCTGAGGAGCTGGGCTCAATTTCTCAACATCCACACAGCAGCTCACAGCTGTCTGTAACTCCAGTTCCAGGGTGTCCAATGCCTCTTCTGGCTTTTGCATGCTCTAGGGGTGAATGTGGTGCACAGACATACATGTAGGCAAAACACCCATACACATGAATAAGTTAATAGACTGGCCATCTCTAAATCTCAGCACTCTGGGCAGAAGCAGGAGGACTAGAATTTAAAGATTACATCTTGAGTTTGAGGCCAGCCTGGGCCATGTAGCAACATCCTAATGTCTAATACCAATTCATACACATTTTAAAAAGTTGGTAAATAGAAATGAATGAAGACTTGCTCTGCCCCTAACAGATCCACATGTATGTATTTTTAGGTTACATGAAAAAAAGCTTGGGAATGAGACAAAGATGGTTTGGGCTGCTGAAGTGTCACTTTCAAAACTTCAGTGGACAACTGGCAGCTATTTATTATTTGGAAGCAGCTGCTTCTCTTCCATGAGATGGGTGACTAAAACATGGTCTCTAAAGTAAGCTGACATCACAAAAGCGCCATTTAACTGTTCTTAGGTTTGACTTCAAGGTACACAACACAGCACAGGTACCAAGAAAATCATCTCATTCAGTCTCTCCCAATTTCAAAAAACCCCAGTACACTACACAGCCAGTGTGGTCTGACACTCTGTAATCACCTGGTCCACTCAGAAGCCATGATAAAATAGGCTCTTCCTCCTCATCACAGCAAAGGCCACACAGGGCAGCTCTGGAAAGTGCGTTATAATCTGCAGGATGAAAAGCTAACACTTCCCTTCTTGTCCAGTCTGGACAATTTAAAATCCATTATGACTCACAGGGAAAACTAGCCAGGAGGAAAGAGGGCTGGGTATTTTTTTCAACTAGATAAACAGAAAAGATCATCTAAGGCATTTCTTATCCTATCTAAATGAAGACAGTTAAATGGTTCAGGGAACTGTATTAACAGAAACATCAAGAGGTTACAGATAAACATTTTAATTGATTAAATATATTACTTTCAAGATCTTTTTGAAATCGCACTTGTATGGTACTAATAAACAGCCAAAGGCAATAAAAAAGTTTAGAACCGAAAGTGTTCAGATATGAACACGTGACAGAAACTGCTAGGTAAAGTGACATACACTGCTCCCAAGAACAATTATTTTTAGAAGATAATTTATCTTAACATGTGCAAGGACAAAATTGTAATCAAAGGCTGAAAGAAATATATATTAGTGCCTGCTTTTTAAAAGTTTATTTTACATTTTAAATACAGTATTTTTCTCATTAAAAAAATCCTAACTCTGTGGTTTCTATATATACAGAAAAGCTGTGGGGCAGCCTGATGAAGATTCTGGGTGTAACAGCAAAGACATTCAACTCCTTCTGAATGAAAATTCAAAAACACAAAGTAAGCACTGGTTTGGAGAAAGTAATCCAGTTTCTTAACCACCAAAAAGAACAGAGTTAAATACCTATAAAACCAGGTATTAAAAACAGAAAAAAAAAAAAAAATGCGGCGTATGAAAACCTCAAATAGCCTGAATGTAGTGAAGTGTGCACACTGCAGCTAGCCAGTGGGAGCCCTGGGAGTGATCTGTGATGTCAAAATTAAATCCTAAGTCATCAGTGACAAAACAGCACTAGGTACACATTGTCTCTGTCATCTTCTATCTATACTACCCTCTCTCTAGATAATTAGCCACTTATACAAATTTCAAATGATGAACATGTGGATTTGTTTTCATAAGAAAGCAAAAGATCTGTTTTTTCCTACCAGCAAGACTTAATACAGATCAGAGCTGTAACATTTAAGCACGGGCCTGTGCACTTCCAATTTTCTCCAGTATGCAAGTCCATACTGGGACTCTGGAACAGTTTGTACCCTAGTAACGAATAGAAAGAAATTTGGACTGTCTCTGGCAGTGATTTCCTGGTAGTGCAATGGTATGGTACTCCTCACTGAATTATACTAAAGTGATTTTGCATATTTAAATTCAGTAGATGCCAATGTGAGTTTATAAAACTCTTGGCTGTAAGCTTTTCATTTTAATTTCAATTTATGATGCTCCACAAAACTATGTCAAAAGAAAATCAACTAGTTTTGTTGTGTTATCAGAAGTGTGAATGGCAGACAGGAGAGTCTGAGGGATTTGGTAGGAAGATGCTGAGGTGTTCTAAGAATCTTTACACATCAATTACCTACTGGGTTTGAATACTCTAAGTTTAAGATTCTCTCAGAAAATAATTCTCTGTACCATCACTAACTAAATAGCTGTACCAAAGCAAAACAACCGGGGTTATTCAGGTAAGACCAATTTGAGGCATTTCTTTCTCTTCTATAATCCGTGAAGTCTTGAGTTTTAAAGTTTCAAATTGTTGAGCTTTAGTCAAAGCCAGTTGCCTCTGAAGCAGACTACAACAGAAGCATTACAAGCAGAGCTGTAACCGAGGGCTCTGGGAGCACACACAGAGCAGACAGCAATGGCCTACCCACCAGCCAGGTCGCGTCAACGCTGGGACATTTATTTTAGAGACTGAATATTTAGCACGCAGCTCACGTAACTCCAGGATTCACTAGTGGCTCTGCTGGTCAGCACCCAAGGGCTGGATGAGTCTCCGGAACTGCTGTTCACCTCAGAGCATTAACGCTAGAGTCTCAAGAAATCCTGGTTCCCAGCAAGAGTTCATAAACCATCAGAACAAAATTGAGAAGGTAAACACTGACTCCTATGCGCCACAAAAGTCAAAAGAAAATAAGTGTCATTTTCTGCCCAATCCTAAACTCCAGATTCTACACGAGCTTTATCTAGTGTAATAGACTCTGTAGTAGACTGACTTGGACCTCCACAGAGAGTAGGAGTTATCAAACTTGAGGAGATAGACACCTCTCCCTGGATACTGGTGACTGCCTGCATACACTTCCTCATGACAGTCCCGCCGGTACACAGGCACAATCTCATCCAGCAGAGGCTTGTTGGCATTCTTTTTGGCTTTCTCTTCACAAGTAACATTTTCTGTGAGAAAGTGAGAAAGAACAGAAGACACAAGTCAAATGATAGATTCAGGAAAATCACCTTGCTAATCAAGCAATGAAACTATCTTCTTGGAGAAACTGTTCTCTAAACTCACTCTCCAACTCTGTGTACAGGAGTCTGTTAGTCACTCATCTGCATGCCTGACCCCTATGCACAGCTGCTGAGCCCTGGGCGTCCAGTGGCAAGCACCAGGCTGTGAGGACAACCTGTCCCCAGCCTTTTGTGTCAGTCCTGCTCCCATTTCCTGTCCTTATTTTTCCCATCTGTTTCTATCCAATTCCAAACTCCTTCCTTCTATAAAACAATCTTACTCATTTGATACCACAGAAAATGCTGTACTAGCTGGGAGCACACCTTTGATTCCAGCATTCAGGGAGGCAGATCAGGTGGATCACTGTGAGTTCAAGGCCAGTGTGGTCTTCAGAAAGAGTCCAGGTCAGCCAAGGCTACACAGAGAAACCCTGACACCAAAAACAACAACAAAAGAAAAGGGGAGGGGAGAAAACACTGTGCTGGCCTCTTCCACAGTCCACCTGCATTTTAGGAATGGTAGAAGGTAGTCTACCCTAGTCTTCTGTTTCTGTATATTCAGAGACTGCCACAAATTCAATCAGTTCCACTAAGTCTGTTTAGCACAGAGATAAAACAAGTAGATTTAAAAAATGAGCTCTGATCACAGACTGTCACTGTTAATAGTTTTCTGGCCTATAACAACATCAAGTTAATAAAGAAACATTTCTAATAGCCTACAAGAATGAGATAATTATTCCAAACCGTCTCAGTCTAACACATTAAATATACACAACCTCAAGAAAACTAGGTGAAGGTATTTCAATACAGAAGATAAAGACTTTCAGGCTCCTCACATGGCAGAGTGAATCCCAGCAACATCCATTAACTACATGTCAATGGTCACAGCCATTTTAAAAGTGTGAGCAGCTCTCAAGGAAATTTAAAATAATAAAACCAATTACACCATGGGCCATCCTGGAATAAATCTTAGAACATTAGGTAAAAAGTAAAGAAACCTGAGTAAGTTTCAAATTTATCAACAAATTTATCAACACCAGTATCAATAATGAATGGTTCATTACGATAAGTGTAATGTACAATTTAAAAAGTTAAAAACAGAAAAACCAAGCCAGCTGGTGGCGGGGCACACCTTTGATCCCAGCACTAGGGAGACAGAGGCAGACAGATCTCTACAAGTTTGAGGTCAGTCTGATCTACACAGAGAGTTCCAGGACAGCCAGTGCTACACAGAGAAACCTTGGGTAGGGGTGGGGAGCCTAAATTTTAAAAAGCTTAAAAAAAAAAAAAAAAGTAAAGGAGACCCACATATGATGTCCCACATGGATATCCCAGCATGAAGGAAACTGAGGAAGGACTGTCAAAAATTCAAGGCCAACCTAAGCTACACACTGAGTATGAGGAGTCTGAGCCAGGTGTTAAATCCTGATTGAAAAGGTCAAAAAACCAAAAACAGGTGTGGTGGCTTGACCTGTAATCCTAGCAGGAGGAAGATGAAGAGTTATTACTGTGGATTCAAGGCCATTCTGTTACACAGCAGCCAGAGCTACATAATGAAACCCATCTCAAAAACAAAACAAAAAAACCCAGTACCCATAAAGAAGACTCAAATAAAATTTGCTTTACTACAGCAATGCCTTCAATTACATGCTATTTATGCTGGGCTGGAGAGAAAGCTCAGTGTTAGGAGTGCTTGCTACACTTCAGGGATATACATTTGGTTCCCAGCATCCACATCAGGTTCTGACTGCAGCACTCTGACACCTTCTTCTGGTTTCCATAGACACATACTTCCACAAATAAAAATCAATCTTTAATAAAAAGTCTTTTATTTACAAATGAGGGTTACTGAGTCATTTAAAATGCCTATAAAGATATCTAAGAAACAAACTGGGTCATTAATTCAAGAGCCACTTTTGTTACATCCACAGAACTAAAGATTATAAGTAATGTGCCTTTCAAACATTAAAAACATTTTTAAACTTTAATTTATATGTGTGTGTACATGTATGTATATGAGTGTATGTGTGTATGTATCTGTAAATTTATGTCATGTAAGTACAGAAGGCATAAGCGGGGCATCAGCTCTCCTGGAGCTGGAGCTTGTGGGCCAGGGCATGGCTGCTGGGGACTGTGGTGGGTCCCCTGGAAGGCACTGAGTGCTCTTAACCACTGAGCACTCCAGCTCCATCTTTCACCAATGCAAGCAAGCCACTGGGACATAAAAAAAACAATGAAGTGGAGCACTGCAGCAAAGTTTGGGTTGTCAGCCCTGTTTCCTCAGAGAAAACAAATTCTACCCACCTGTCCAAACCTAAGCAAGAAAAAACAAACTTCCAAATAGACAACAATCTCAGTTTTTAGCTGGGTGTGATGGTACACATTTTATATGCAGCTGGGGGTAGAGGGCAGTAGCAGAAAGAATAACTGAATGTTCAAGGCTAGCTAGCCTGGTCTACAAAGTGAGATCCAGACCAACCAAGGCTGCATAGCCCTCTCTACCACCCTGGAATTTTCTTCCATGGACTACACAGTGGATATATGGACATATCAACGGCGCACAGTCATCATGTAACTCACAGGCACAAATGTACCAGTGAGCTAAGTCTCCATACAGGCTCATTCTCAGTGGAACAAGTCTTAGAATTAGTAAAATCTCATTATTTCTGTTCACGTGGAGATTTCAATGGATAAGTCTTTAGAACTGGTATACAGGTAGGCCATGCTACCTTCCCTTTGAGGGACAAACAGCACAGCTAAAGGGAAAAGCTATGTTTTACCAGCTCTCTTCCTCTAAACCTTAAAATTTCCTTTTGTATACCATATACAAACAGGTGTGTGAGGAGGCCAGAAGGAGCTGTCAGACCCCTGAAGTTGCAGGCAGTTCTGAGCCACCACATCAGAGCTGGGAACTGAACCTGATCTTCTGCAAGAACAGTAAGTACCTGAGCCATCACTCCAGCCTCTTTGATCAGTTACTGACCCAATGTCAACAACCCCCAAACTTATCAGCTAGGAGTTCAGAACAGAAGGAGGAAGTAATTTTCTTTAAAAAAAAAAAAAAAAAAAATCTCTAATGGGTAAGATAGGAGAAAATCAACCAAGCTGCAGAGCATAGCAATTTCTTTTCTTCCTTCTTACTTTATTTTTATTTTAAAAATTTTTTCAAGACAGGGTTTCTCTTTGTACCCTTGGCTATCTTGGAACTTGCTCTGTGGACCAGGATGCCTCAAACTCATAGAGATCCAACCTGCCTCTGCCTCCCAAGCATTGGGATTAAAGGCGTGTGCCACCACCACTTGGCTACTTTTTTTAGACTCATTTTATGTGCATGGGCTTTTTACCTGCATGTATGTATGTGCACAGAGTGTATGTCTGGTGTCTGCAGAGGCCAGAAGAGGACACTTGTTCTTCTGGGACTATAATTAAAAACAACTAGAATCAAGCCTTGGTTTTCTGCAGGAGGGAATGCTGTTAACCGCTGAGTCATCTCTCTAGCCCTTTCTCCTTAGTTTTTGAGACACAGTCTCTCTTAACAGCCTGGGCTGACCTGCAACTCATTATATAGCCTCAAACACATAATGATCTTTCAACCTGAGCCTCCTTAGTGCTAAGATTACAGATGGGAGCAATCACATAGAGCCAGAGCCAACCACTGAAAATATTCCTCAGTAAGACTTTTTTTCCCCTTCTGTGTAACCTTGGCTATCCTGGACTCACTTTGCACACCAGGCTGGCCTCAAATGAGTCTCTGCTGTATGAGAAAGGTGAGCCCGGGGTTAGCCGCTGGCAAGCGTTACTATGGCACTACTGGAATGCAGGTGGTGGCACCCAGCTAAACTTTCAGATTTTACCTTTCCTTAACCACTCCTCCTATTTTTGGTTTTGGTGAGTATTATGGGAAATGTCTCACTTTGCTGCTAGTCCTTAGGAATAAACATTGTTAAAAACAAAATGCCAAAGCCCTGGAATTGGCTCAGTTAACTTGCTATTGGGGAGGGCCAAAGTTCTGTTCCCAGCACCCACATGGTAGCTCGCCATTCTTTGTAACTCCAGTTCCAGAAGATCTGACACACTTTTTTGACCTCTGGGTTATCAGACATGCATATGGTATACAAATACACAAACATACATGTAGGCAAAACATTCATTCACATAAAACAAAAAGTCAGTCTTTAAAAATCTTAAAAACAAGCCATGCAGTGGTGATGCACGCCTTCAATACCAGCACTTGGGAGACAAAGGCAGGTGGATCACTTAAGTTCCAAGACAGCCAGAGCTATATAGAGAAACCCTGTCTTAAAAACAAAACAAACAAAAAAGTCATGCAAAAGAAAGCAGTACATGTTTTGATATTTACCAGGTCAAACCTGGACCTGTGTTATAATTAAGGATTTTAATCTTCTGGAGTGACAGTAAGTCTGCATGATGTACTGAAATTCCTGGGACACTCTGCTGGTTCTTATAGAAAATAGTACAGAACAAAACTTGTCTTTGGAGCTGAATAACAGACTGACAAGTACAAAATTGTACTTATTAAACTACATCTTAAATGAATTTCAAGAAGCGCTTATGGTCTCTTTACGTGCTCCCATATGTGGTGTCAAAGTGTGGCAATGTGATTAAGGCATGGTCTATTTTTAAAGTCAAATGGACTCATGTCCATTCCATGCATTTCCAAAAAACAGTTCTTAGACCTGTTTTAGTACCATTGTCATGAAACACTCCAGCAGTCTTCTCAAGAACAGGACTTCTTCTGAGACACCTGACAGGTCAGTTAGCCCTGAAAAATGGAGCCAAGATGCTCTTCCATTCTCACAGGCTGCACCACAGTACCTGTGTCAGTTTCAATCTAGCTTACTTGGCTTGTATTTAAATGGCCCAAGTTCTAGTTTTTCCACCTAACAAAATCAAGGAGAACAGCTGCTCAAGATCAATATATCTTTTAACTTAATCTTAGAACAAGATAATTTACTAAGATCTTTCAAAACCGATTCTGTCTGAGAGGAATGAAGTCACACCCTTGTAAAACAGTGGTTTCCAAAGACAAAACATGACTAAAATTTATCTTAAGTGAGCTACTCTGGTGAATTTTCATGATTTATTTACACACTACTTTTTGGTTGCTGTTACTTTTGTTTTTGTTTTTTTTTAAAGAGATTTATTTATTATGTATACAATGTTCTGCCTGCATGTACACCTGCACTCCAGAAGAAGACAGCAGATCTCACTACAGATGGTCATGAGCCACCATGTGGGTGCTGGGAATTGAACTCAGGACCTCTGGAAGAGCAGCCAGTGCTCTTAACCACTGAGCCACCTCTCCAGCCCCTTGTTTTTGTTTTAAGTCAGGGTTTCTCTGTGTAATAGCCTGGATGTCCTGACATTCTCTATGTGAACCAGATGGGCCTCCAACTTACAGAGATCCACCTGTCTCTGCCTCTTCCTCTGGGCCACCACACCTGGCTACATACATTTTACCCAGCATTTGGGAGGCAGAGGCAGAGACATGAAGATCAGAAGTTTAAGGACATTCTTGACTATATACGCATTAAAGGCCAATGTAAGCTACATGAAACCCTGTCCCATATCTTCTCAAAAACAAACAAAAAAGCAAACATAACAGGAAAAAGCCAGCTCTGATGGTGGGTCACACCTATAATCTCAGCACTTGGGACTGAAACAAGAGAATCCTGTCTTTGATTTTGTGTTCTGTTTTTCAAGACAAGATTTCCTGTGTAGCCCTGGCTGTCCTGGAACTCTCTTTGTAGACCAGGCTGGCCTGGACTCACAGAGGAGGATGCTGTCTTTAAAACAAACAAAAAAGCTATTATCAGAAACATAAATTCCTTTGTTGACAAGGATTCATACTTGCTCTTTTAAACCTTTTCAAACTGGAGCATGGTGGCATATACTGATAGTCCCAGCTAACTAGGGAGGTTGAGGTAGAGGACTGCTTGAGTCCAACAGTTGAAGACCAGGCGAGGAAACAAAGTAAGGTCCCGTCTCAAGAACAAACAACAAACCTCAAAGTGACTTCACATACTTAAGTTTTCCAATATACAAGGCTGAAAGTAAAACAACATTCAGAAACTATTAAAATAACCTACTGCTATCAACTTTTTAGACTTTTTAGAGAAATTCACATTCAGGGCCTTCTTTGTGAGACAGTGGCTTTCTCAGAGCCAGTTCAGCGGCATCCCACTACTGTACAGAGTATCCCCTGTCCATCAAGTGTTCATCAGAAAGCATAAGGTGGAATCACACACACACAATGCAGCAGCTACTGAGCAAGGCCTACCTTCCTCCTCCTCCTCATCGTCACTGGACTCACTGACATGCACACTGACAGCAGCGTTTGGAGAGTCTGTCCATTCAAAATAAACCCCAAACCCAATGTCATAACTGTCTGTAGCAAATTCCCAAAAGAGGTAGGATCCTTCTTCATGAGTGGGGACTCGAACAGTGACTACTTCTCCTCGGCGCACTGTGATCACAGAATCCGCGTCCTGCCGAATCTTCTCTTTAAAGTCTTTGATCTGGGGTCTTGTCCACATGGATGGAGCTGCAATCACTGGAAGAGATTCTAAAGGCAACAGGATTTACAAAAGCTGAGAGAAAAGGTTTTTACAGAGAATATCTGCATTGAGCTACCTGTGTTCTGACACAAGGGCAATGTGGTTAGCTTAGACCAAGGATGGAGGGAAACAGAAAAGCCTCTCCAGTTATTATAATATCTAAGAAGGTCACACAGGTACTAAGAGGCCATCATAGCTCTTCAATAAAATGGAATCTTACAAGTGATTTTTTCCTAACATTCTGCTTTTATCTCATCCTATCTGTTGAAAAGTCTTAACCTCTGGGTGCCTTAAAGTTCTAAGAGCTTTTCTGGAGAGAGCTAAGAAAACAGGAAATCCTAGACAATAGAACCACCGGAGAAACGCACGGAGAAAGGACAGTATCTTGCTACCGAGCAGTATTCATGTGTACTGCAGACCTCTCAGCAGCTTTTCCAGTTACGTTAGTTAGATTCGCTAACAAAAATATTTCCTCTCATTTGCGAACACTGGTAAGGCTGAGGATGTAGCTCAGTCGAGTGCTTGCCTGGAACTCACAAATCCCTGGGTTCAATCACTAGCACTACATAAACTAGAATCAAGAGTTCAGAGTCATCCTCAGCTCTATAGTGAGTTTAAGGCCATCCTGAGCTGTCTCAAAAAAAAAAAAGTTGTGGTGGCACACGCCTTTAGTCCCAGCACTCACTTTGGTGGCATAGAGAGACAGAGCTCTCTGAGTTGGAGGCAAGCCAGGGCTACATAGTGAAATCCTATCTCAAAAAAAGAAAAGAAAAACAAACAAAACAACAGACAAAACGCCAATGAGATGCCTCAGCAGGTAAAGGCACTTGCTACCAAGCTTAATCACTCAAGGCTCTTCACGAAAATCTACACAGTAGAGGGAAAGAGCCAAACTGCAAGTTGTCTTTTGACCTCTCTGTGTGCACACATAATCACAGAGTAAGTAAGTAAATGTGAAACTGTGGTATAAACTCTTGGTAAGACTTAAAAAGATCTTTTCTGAAGCTATTTTTCTGTTACTTGTTCTAGAAAGGAAGGGAGGACAGAATGGGTTTCAGGAATCTTCTATTTAAGTATGCTTGTACACTCAAGAGGCTGAAGTAGAGGCAAGAAAAAAGAAAAACAAAAAAAACCATTGAACCTCCCCATCCTCACCTTCAAATGCTGAAAATCGAAATTAGGAAAATTATACTTCAAAGAAAAAAATAGTTAGAAGTGTCACAAAAACAGAAGCTGTAATTAGTAAATTCGTCAGATGTCTAAGGTGACAAATCTCTCTGGGATAGCAGGCATGTAACACCACCCCCAGTTTCATGTGGTGTGTCGAACTGAACCCAGAGCTTTGTGAAAGCTAAGCAACTGCTCTCTCTCAACTGAGCTCCAGCTCCAGCCCTGAGCGTCTATGTCTGTGTCATCAGAGGCATCAGACTCAGAGAGAAAAGGAGTGCTGGACTCACACATCTAAGTGCCTTCTGAGGCTAGTCAGCTCATCTTCCTGGTTTTTGCTTTTCATGATATTTAAAGAATGACATCTGGATGGACAAATATATGTGCTAAATAAACCACTACCTTTTGGTCCATTTTCCAAGGCTTCTTCTGCAGCTTCTGGCTCAAGTTCTTTTTCAGAACTGTCAGTGTGGGTTTTGGCCTGTCCGTTAACTGACGTCATTTCACTTGCTCCAGTTGTGCTCACTTTTGATGATGTAGGCAATGAAGCCCCAGCCACTACTACTTCTTGTTGCTTCTGTAATGCTGCCTACAAAATGAGAAAAACATTAAGATTCTCTTCCAGAAAGGCTAACGTTTGCATAGGAGCGAAGTCTGACACTGTTTGCTCCACACTAAAGCATTCAAAGAAATTACTCATCAACTTTTACCAGTTTTTATCACATCTGTAATAAATATTAGTAACACCAACTGACAGCTAAACATGATTAAACAATCAACTCAGATAAAATTACTAAAGTCAAAATTAAGTATACTAACATACCACTGCCTCCTGAGTGTTGAAATTAAGAGCATGTCCACCATGCCCGTCAGTGATAGATATTCTTAAAACTGAACAGAAGAATATATTTTGTTTCATTTTTACTAAAATTCAACCATAGGCAGGGCATGATGGTGCATACTATTAACCCAGCCCTCAAGAGGCAAAGTCAGACAGATCTCTGTGAGTTTGAGGCTAGTCTGGTTTACAGTGTACCAGGCCAACCAGGGCTACACAATGTGTAGTCTTTCAAACTACACAACTGGGTATGCTGAATATGCTGTTTTGCTTGTGCCCAGCAAAACACTCAAGAGGCCAAGGTGAAAAAAATAAAGAAAACAAAATTAGGAAAATTATACTTCAACGAAACAAATGGTCCCAGAAAATTCACAAAAACAGAAGCTATAATTGGTGATTTTGACAGATGTCTAAAGTAACAAACAAAACCTTCATATGAACAACTATTCTAACATAGACAAAAATAAATATTCACAGTTCACAAATTTAAAAAAAAATTAATTTAGGTTTTATGGTGTTAGAGACCAAATCCAGAGCCTAATATTAGCTCCAGCAGATGCTCATCTACCCTCGGCTCCAAAAACCAAAAAACTTTTGTAGGTATATATGTATATATGTATGCATTCATGAATGTATGTATTATATGTGTGTGTATTTTTAGTTTTTTGTTTGCTTGTTTTGTTTTTGAGATTGGGCTTCATTATCCCAGGCTGCCACTTGTACGTGCCTCCCGAGTGCTGAGAAGGAATGTGCCACCATATCCAGTCTAAAATTTCATAAAACTATCAATCAAGTTGTAAAGAAACACTGATCTAGCTGGGTGGTGGTGGCAGCGCAGGCCTTTAACCTCAGCACTTGGGAGGTAGAGGCAGGTGGATCTCTGTTAAGTTCCATGTCAGCCTTGTTTACATAGTAAATTCCAGGACAGCCAGAACCACACAAAACCTGTCTTAAACAACAAACAAACAAACAAAAAAGACCCCACTGATCTAAGAGTTAAGGATTTTAATAACGAAGTTAGCGGTCAAAATATTTTCTCACTTAAATGTTATCCTGGTCTGGGTACAGTACTGCACACCTATAATGTCAACATTTAGGAGCTGAGGCAGCAGGACCTCAAGCTTAATTAAAGCTAAACTGATCTTCATAGCAATGCAGGGAAGAGAAGTACAAAGAAAAGAAATTTGCTAGGTTCACTGACCTAAGCCAGTGATTTCACATACTTAAAAGGCTGAGGCAGGAAGATTACAAGTTTAAGAACAGGTTAAGATACTAAATGTAAGCCTGGGCAGCTTAGTGAAATCCTGTCTCAAGATACAAAGAGAGGACTGGGAACACAGCTCTCAGTGGGAAAGCACTTGCCCAGCACCCACCTTTTTAAACTGGGTTACAAATCCATACAGGCGTGAAATCTGCCTGTTCCTGAATGTACACGGAATACAAACTCATTCAAAATTAGAGTATAATTAATCGGAGGTGTTTCTGACACTGCTCTACTCAGATGCATCAAGGCAACTCTCAAAAAGTCTTGGTTCTGAACACACAACACATATACTTCGCCAAGGGCTGTATTGACATACAATACCAATGATACATACACCTTGGCTCAAATTTAAGATTGTTTTATGTTACAAACTGCAGTGTGTTCTACTGCACATACAAAGTTTTCTGTACTTACAAAAATACAATAGCTTACTTACGGAAAAAAAAGACATAATACTTTCTGCTGTCATTCCTCAGCATGTAAACTATCAAGTTAGTATGTATTTAGACTGTAGAAGCTGAAGAGAGTTCAGTGGCTAAGAGCACTGACTATTCTCACGGAAGACCCAGGTTCAGTTTCCAGCATCCTGGCTCACAAGCACCTGCCATTCAAGTTCCAGGACGTATACGTGCACAGACTTACATCCAGGTGAAACACTCATACACATAAATAAATCTTCCAGAAAAAAAAAAGTATCCCCAATGGTTGGCAAGATGACAAGTTAGCTTTAATCATCAACTTGATACAACCTAGAATCTGCTGGAGAGAAAGTCTCAGGGAATTTCTGGTTACACTGGCCTGGCCTGTGGAAATGTCTGTGAGACTGTCTTTATAACATCAGTTGATGTGATGCAGCCCATTGCAGGCAGCACCACTCCCTGGGCAGGGGTCTTGAACTATGGGAGTGGAGAAACCCAGCTGAAAGTAGCATCTATGCATTCATTCCCCTCTGCTCTTAACTGTGGAGGTGATGTGATAAGCTGTCTCAATGTCCTGCTGCTGTGACGTTCCCAAAGTGATGACTATGACTTGGAATTGTGAGCTAAAGTAAATTCTTTCTCCCTTAAATGTAACCCTGTCAGGGTGTTTTATCACAACAGAAATGAATCTAGGGTAACACGTGTAAGAGTGCTTGCTGGCAAGCCTGCTGACCCAAGTTTCATCTCGGGAACCCATATGATGGAAAAACAAAACTGGCTCCAGCAGGTCTACATGCATACCATGGCAAGGGCAACCGTCTCCTCTGCACACACACATAAAATAAGTAACATGTTTTTTGATATGCCCTGACTCAAAATGGGAGAGTAAAAAAAAAAAAAAACACAAAACACCTTTAACCTAAAGAACACCAAATCAAGATGGGAGCAGGGATTAATGCTGCTTTAAAACCCATTTTGTAAAGGTGGGCATGTTGGTGAACACCTTTAATCCCAGTACTTTGAGGCCAGCCTGGTATACACAGAGAGTCCAGGACAGCCAAGGCTACACAGAGAAACCCTGCCTCACCCCGCCCCAATTATTTTACTTTTAACTACATGTATGTATGTGGGTATGTACGTGTAGTATAGGTGCCTGCAGAAGCCCACGATAGGGTGTTTGATCCCCCAGATGGAGAGTTACAGGCAGTTTGTGAGCTATGTAACGTGAGGGCTAGAAACTGCAAGATTAATACATGCTCTTATCCAGTGAGCCATTTCTCCAACACCCTATTAACTTTTGGAGGAACTAAAATTGAATCCTAATATACATGGAGAAAGATTAAGCCTGTAATCCCAGCACTCTATAGAAGTAGAAAGATATGATGATCAATGTCAGTCTTGGCTGCATAGTAAGTCTGAGGCAAGCCTAGACTACATGAGACCCAATTTTAAATAGAAGTGTGCAAATTATAAAGTATATAGCTTAATCAATTTTCATGTATCAAACATATCCATACAACCATCACCCAGAACAAGAAATTATTAATTTATCCCAGAATCCTCTCTAGTATTCTCCTCTAGATACCTTCACCACAGTATTTTCAGTTTTCTTTGCCTACCTCCCCCCCCAAAACAAAACAAAACAAAACAAAACAAGGTTTCTCTGAATAGCCCTGGCACTTGCTCTGTAGACCAGGCCGGCCTTGAACTCCAAGATTCACTTGTTCTGGCTCCCAAATGTTGGGATTAAAGGCCTGCACCACTACCTCCCAGCTGATTTGCCTACTTTTAAACTATATAAACAATTGTGTCAGATGGTAGTGGTGCATACTTTTAACCCCAGTATTCAGCAAAGGGGGGAGGATCATCCCCCTACCAATCAACAATCAACTATCCATCTATCTATCTATCTATCTATCTATCTATCTATCTATCTATTAATCTAATCTAATCTATCTGTTTTTCAAGACCCTGTCTTGGGAGGTGGGGAATCTACCTTTTACACACACACACACACACACACTGACACACACACAAAGTCTCACTATGCAACCTTGGCTGACCTTGAATAATCTGTATAGACTAGACTGGCCTGGAACTCACAGATCCAGCAGCCTCTGCCCTCTTGCCTCCTGCCTCCGCCTCTCTGTCTCTGCTTCTGAAGTGCTGGGTTTAACACCTCTCTCTGCCACTACATAAAACACAAAATTTTAAAACATACTCTAAGGCTTGGATTCTAAATCACTTCAAAGAAAAAAGCAGCAGCTATTCAGAAAATGCATACAACCAAAACAAGTCAGTAAATTCAAAACATCACATGATGGTGAAGGAGGAGAAGGCATTCTTGGAGCTAATTTTAAAACTCTCCAGTAAAATCAATAAACTCCCTTCTCTGGAACTCACAGCCCAGGACTTTTTTTTATTAGATGCAACAGGCTGCAATTACTTATACAACTCTCTTTTTTAAGAACAAAAAACATGTAATTTGGGAAGAGTTTTAAAAGCGCAAGAAAGTCTGATGTGGTACATGCTTGTAATCCCAGTCACTGAGAGATAGGGTTTGAGGTGGTGCACACCCTTAATCCCCAAATGCAGGGAGCAGAGGCAGGCGGATCTTGAGTTTGAAGGCTAGCCCCGTCTGCAGGGTTCCCAGACAGACAGAGCTGCTACACAGAGAACCCGTCTCAAAAACAAACAAACAAATAAACAAGCCACCAAAAAACAAAAAACAAAACAATCCCCAACAAAGAACAAAAGCAAAAACATACAGGAACAGATAGGCAACAGACATCTAGGCAACTACAACTATATCCACAGAAGAACAAGCATACAGCGTTGTTCAGTATTTACATAAAAGTTAATACTTCAGAGTAATAAGATTCTGTTTCTTCCTTCCCCTTATGTAAAATTCATTAGTAACTGTTAAAAAAAGAACTTGAGTGGTAATGAAACGGTGAGGCTGTTTCTCAGGTAGCCTATTATTATCTATTCTCAGAAGCAACCAATTAGATAGCATTTCATCATACTAATACCAACTTCTACTTCTGATTCCATTTCTCGGATTTATCTTACCAGAACAACTTTCTCCTCATAAAGTGACAGCAGCCTATAAACAGAACAGTATATGACAGCAATCTCAATACTTATCAACTAAGCAAAAATAGGAAAAGGAAGTTAATATACTAAAGTAGAAAAAGGCTACAGAGAGTAGCATCTATCAAAAACGATGCTTCCTCTCATGGGTTTTATAAAACCTCTTTCTTTTTTCTTTATTCCCCAAGACAGGGTTTCTCTGTGTAGCCCTAGCTGTCCTGGAACTTGCTCTGTAGACCAGGCTGGCCTCGAACTCACAGAGATATGTCTCCTCCTGTTCCACTCAACTCCCTTTTTTACTTGGAGATGGAGTCCTTCAAAGCTGCTCAACTACCCTGAACTCTCAGCCACCTGGGCAGTTGGTATTACAGGTTTACACCATCAGTCTAGCTATTAACTGCTCTTGCTTTTATAACCCTGTGAGGTTAGGAACCTATCCTGTGTCTTATTCACACAGAACAGAGAAAAAGCAAGAAATCAGAGCTAGTAACATGTCAGAAAGTCAAATGATAATGGCAGAGCCAGGACAGAATCCAAGTACCAGACTCTCTCCATGTCTTTCAGTTAAACCATTTTCTCTGGTATTTTTGGTTGTGAGCCTCCAGCTCAAACTACCCAAATGTTGAAGCAAATATTTAGGAATGGAATTTTGAAGGAGGATCTGGTCAAGCTCTGAGGAACCAGCCTGTCACCTTACGGGAAGGGAATCCACTCCTTTAAACGGATCCACTCCTTTAAACTGTTTGTTCCTGACCAGTACACGTTCTGCCTGAAGGATATTCCTACTAAGACTAGCTACCCAGGTCCTCACAGTTCCAGGAACACTGTTACAGGCCATACCAGACTCATGACTAGACTTATACAACTCCCACACACCCTTGTAACAATATAGAAATTCATCCTCTGACCTTCATTCAAGATCTTGTACTTTCTTTTGTAACTGCCAACACAATGCTAAGAAGACTACTTAAATGATTAGCCAAAGAGTTACTTTATACCTTAGGCTAGCTAATGCAAAATTCATTCACCACTGTTAGGAAAGAACCTAAATGCCATGGAAACACAACACGTTCTCTCCAGCTGCAGGCATACCTGTTGCTGTGCAAGCTGGACTTGATACAACTGTTGCATGTACTGCTGGTAGTGCTGCTCCTGCAGCTGGCGGATGAGAATCTGCTGCTGCTCATAGTTCCCTGGATACTGCTGGGCTGCATACTGCTGGAATTGCACGGCAGTCTGCGAGTTTAAAGCTGCCATTATCTGCTGCCTGGAAACATTAATAAATACATGACAGTCTAATGACAGGAGACCATTCATAACAAAATAAAATGTTCTTGTTTATTTTTATAGCTTATAGCTTAAAATGACTAAGCTAAAAAAATATACCAAAAAGAGTATGTTCCAGAACCAGAATATTTAAGGAAAAAAATCTGACCTCTAATTTTTTACTTAGGTTTTTCAAGAAAAGTTGGAATGGAGAATACTATGTACATCACCATCATCAACATCCTCGTAATTAACAATTTACTGTGCTGTGTGTCTTGCACTGTTTAAAGCATTTACATGTACCAACACACTTAGTCTTTGACATCACTATAAGGTTGTTCAGTAATTGCCCAAGATTCTACTGTAGCTAGATTCAAAAGCCAGATCTCAAACACAGACAGTCTGGGGCAGACAGCACTAATTCACCCGATGCTAAAGACATGGACCGCCACTGGGCATGGATGGGCACTTGACTCTGGGTAAAGTTTCTCTACCTAAACATGCCAGAACAGCACAGATGCTACTACAGGCTCTGTTAAGGATGAATAAAACCACTGACAACCTGAAGGTCTGTCACCTTTTATTTAAATGTGCTTTTATGCAGAAGCACTGAAGGTAACAGTAGCAGGTCATGCTGCTTCCTTTACTCATCCCCCCATGGGCTCATATTACACAGCCAGGCTGTTTCGGACTCAGTCTCTGAAGTGCTGAAATCACAGCTGTACATCACTGCACCTTGTTTGGAGATAGCAATTTTTTATTGAATTATTACAATTACTTTTGTTTTCTTTCAAAGAAAACTACATGATTCAAAGCTGCTCTGTAACTACTTATCAAAAACTTCAAATCTATCTATTAAGAAACAGATAAATAAAGCAAAAACCACACAGACTCCTCACTAAAGTGCGGCACTGGGCTCATCTAAGGTTTTCAACTCAAATCCAAAAGAGAATGCCATTAAAAATTTTGCTCTGGAGGGAACAAGTCAGGAGCCTGACACAGAGGACCTCTAAAAAGCTCTGCCCTGCAGACTATCAATGTAGATGCTGAGACTTATGGGCAACCTTTGGGCAGAGTGCAGGGAATCTTAGAAAAGAAGTGGGAAACAGTAAGATCTGGAGAGGACAGGAACTCCACAAGGAGAGCAACAGAACCAAAAAATCTGAGCACAGGGGTCTTTCCTGAGACTGATACTCCAACCAAGGACTATGCATCGAGATAACCAAAGACCCCTGCACAGATGTAGCCCACAGCAGTTCAGTATCCAAGTGGGTTCCACTGTAATAGGAACAGGGACTGTCTCTGACAAGAACTGATTGGCCTGCTCTTTAATTACCTCCCCCTAAGGGGGGAGCAGCACTACCAGGCCACAGAAGAAGACAATGCAGCCACTCCTGATGAGACCTAATTGACTAGGATCAGAAGGAAGGAAAAGAAGACCTCCCCTATCAGTGGACTTGGGGAGGGGCATGCATGCAGAGGGTGGAGGAAGAAAGGGATTGGAACGGGAGGAGGGAGGGAACAGGGGGGATAAAAAATGAATAAAGTGTAATTAATAAAGAAAAAAAATTTTTGCTCTGAGGGCTGGAGACATGGCTCAGAGGTTAAGAGTACTGGTTGGTCTTCCAAAGATCCTGAGTTCAATTCCCAGCAATGACACGGTGGCTCACAACAATCTATAATGAAATCTGGTGATCTCTTCTCGCGTCCAGGTGTACATGCAGACAGAACACTGTGTACATAATAAATAAATCTTTAAAAAATGTTTTATTTTTTTGCTTTGAAGCAGCATGAAGCCATGGGTTACTTTGAGGCTAGCAACCACTACAGGTTGTTCTGAGAAACTAGCTAGAAACAGTGAAGAGAGATCAATGTATCTCAAGTTCTCTGGCTTAATTTTTCCGCTATGCCACCCCAGGAATCCCAGGTCTTCTATGTGTTTTCCTCTTTATACCTCCAGCTGCCCTTTGAAAAGCCAGGCCTTTCGAGGCAGCAGCTAAAGGAAGTTTCAGCTCTCATGTCCTATACTAGGTCTGGGAACAGCTACCTGATATACACTGGGTTAACAGGCTCTATGTCCTCAGAATTTGTAACCAGGTCTCAGATTCTAGTAGGTCTCTCAGACACATGGAAAATAGATCACAAAATTCCAAGTGAGACAGCCTTGTGTAAGACAAAGTAGACAGAAGCTGTAGGTAGCAGTAAGAATGCAGAGACAGGAGGCTGGAGAGATGGCTCAGAGGTTAAGAGCACTGGCTGCTCTCAAGAGGGCCTTACTTCAATCCCCAGCAACCACACGGTGGCTCACTATCTATGATGAGATCTGGTGCCCTCTTCTGACCTGCAGCACACATGCACACAGAACGCTGCGTACATAATACACTGGACGCAAGACAAAACAACTGAGCAACCTCAACTGCTGCCTCTAGTCTCTAGGTTTTACAAGCTAACTCCAAATTTCAACATATTATTTTCTGACAAAAGAAACACAAATCACTGGTAAAAATGAGAAAGAAGCAACACAAGTCTACCTTGCAAGCACAGTTACAGGAACTTTCTAAGACACACACGCAAAAACCCAGGACAACAGGGTAGCAGCCTAGTTCTCACTTTTGAATAAAACCCAAGCAACAAGCTCACTTTTGCTGCTCCAGCCGAAGCCTCTCTTCTTCTATTCGCCGCCTCTCTTCTTCCTCCCGCCGGAGTCGTTCCTCCTCTTCTCGCTTCCGCTTCTCTTCTTCCTTTTGCAGACGTTCTCGTTCTTCCTCTTCCCGCTGCCTTCGCTCCTCCTCCGCCTTTCTACAAGGTTCAGAGCAAAGACAATGAACTCTGCACAGTAAATCTTACTTCTAAATCATTTAGATTTCCTTTCAGAAATGAAATCTTTTCAGAGCATAGCAATCTGTCAAAATTTGAAACACAAACTTCCATATGGAAGATTTAAAATATGGAGTCCATTTCATAACATACATGACTACATCAAGAATAATTATTAGATGGGTGACCAGTCTTTAATGAAAAACAAGATAAAAGTAAGCAAGAATCAAAAAAGGCAACTTTCCAAGACATTGCATCTCATTCAACAACGTACTATAGTATAAAAATCAATTTTCTATGTTATTCCGTTTTCAGTAAGTATCAAGTCTTAGCCTGGCATTGTAGTTCTCAAAACCAGGGAGGCAGAGGCAGGTAGATCTCTTAGTTCTAATCCAGCCAGAAATATACAGTAAAACCCTATCTTTAAAAAACGGACTGGGCGTACAAGGTGTGGTTACAACATGCCTTTAATTCCAGCAATTGAGAGGCAGAGACAGGCGGACCTCAGAGTTCAAAGCCAGCCTGGTCTACAGAATAAGTTCCAGGACAGCCAAGGCCACACAGAGAAACCTTGTCTTGAAAAACCAAAATAAAACAAACAAACCCACCCCTCAATATAATAACGAGGAGAGGCACAAGATGGCTGTGTGGCACCATGCCAAGCTAAGATCTAATTCATAACGACAACAGAGAATCTCAGAAACACAGTGAGCTCAGTAGTATCTACTCCAAATGCTGGAAATAATAAGCTATTTAGGATCCAAAGCCAATATGCATTTCCATGCAGCACAGCTAAAAAACACAAAAATGGGATAGGAATTACTCTAGAAGACAGAAGCATGTATGTCAGACTAGAGAATGGGACTGGGGAAAGGAGTGGATGAATCACGGCTGAGCTTGTTAAAAGCTTACTGTATAGGACAAAAGTTATTATTGTATAGGACTACCAGGCATGGTAGTCCACATGTATAATCCCAGCACTCAGGAGCCCAAGCACTCAGGAGCCACATGCAAAACTGTCACTGCTGCTAAAGATGGGTGGTTCATTTTAAGAGCAACCCTGCTTCCCTCCAAACTTATATGACTACCTGTTCACATGAGTTCTGAGGAACAAAATGGAGTAAGATATCTGATCTAGAACATATGCTCCATACCGCAAAAACATCAGCGCACAATGGCCCCGCACTGTATGCCACCCTGCCCTGTAACATCACCTTCTTTTTTCTTCCTCTTCCTTCTCTATTCTGTGAGATGCAACATATGCTGAGAGGAGAGGGCAACACCTATTTAGAAGCTTTACAAACTCTATCATGGCATCCTCTTTGGACATGTTTCCCAGGGCTGCCCATTCTCTCCTACAAAGAATAAAAAGAACAGTTACCTTCCTTCCCTTAACAGAATGAGATTCTCTTTCTTTTTTTTAAGATTTATTTATTTCATGTATATGAACACCATTTTCATGCACAGCAGAAGAGGGAATCAGATTCCATTACAGATGCTTGAAAGCCACCATGTGGTTGCTAGGAATTGAACTCAGGTCCTTTGGAAGAGTGACCAGTCTCTAAGCCATCTCTCCTGCCCCAGAATGAGATTATTTTATCAAACCTCACATATGAAAAATACTCAATGAAGTATGCTTTTACTAGAAGGAAAAAGTTCAGAACTCTAGTTTCAACAAACCTACATTGACACATTAGACGCCATAAGCAATCCAAAATAAAAAAGCATGTTGATGATTGACACTTGTTAAAAAGCAATCTATATTTTATTATTTTCTTTATATATTTTAGCTTGAACTAAACAAAAATACTCCATTTTCTGGCACAATTCTGTACGTCTCAATAAGGAAATCAATAGTGTTTTAGTTTTTTTTTTTTTTAGTTTTATGTCTATGATTATTTTGCTGCACATTTATCTGTGCACCATGTGTTTGCCTGGTGCCTGGGGTACTTGGAGGGCAGAGGGGGCATCAGACACTCTGAAACTCAAATTATAGACAGTTGTGGGTGCTAAGAATCAAACCCAGGTTCCCCTGGAATAGCAGCTAGTGCTCTCAACAGCTGAGCCATCTCTTCAGCCCCAGTAGAATGTATTCTAAATGGTTGCTTTTAATATTATTAGAAAGAGTCAGAAGAAATTGTACTTGTCTTATGTTCATAACTAGATAAGTACACAGCTTCTATAGTAGGATTTAGAAGCTATAAGCGAAATGGATGTTATGCTAAGCTAAGAAGTGCATTCAGATGTTATGCTAAAAAAAGTTAACTACATACACCTTAAGCAATCCACATTATACCTCTTTCTAATATCATTATTAAGTCTACTAAATAAGAAAAGTTACCTTCTATCATTTCCCAATACATCAAAGAATCCAACCTCAGGGGAAGTGTCTGGGTTATATGGGCCCAAGAGAACTTGCTTATATAATGCCACAAACTTCAGTTTTTCTTCATAAGTTGGATGAAAGGCTTTGCCATCTTTTACTGAAAGAAAAGAAATTTAAAGAAAACAATTGATATTGGCAAAATACAGTTTCCAGCTTTGCTACAGAGTATGTCAATAACTGTCTACAAAAGATAAAAACAGTTGGTTAAGATTGCTATTTATTAATTTTGTTTGTTTGAGACAGGTTTCTCTACACAGCCTTGACTGTCCTGGACTCGCTTTGTAGAGTAGGCTGGCCTCGAACTCGTCTCTGCCTCCCAGAGTGCTGGGATTATAGGCATGTACCACCATACCTGGCTGTTATTTATTAAATTTCAATTTGTACTAAAATACAAATCCTTTATAGATTTTCTCTTCTTCTTCCTGCTCTTCATTTTTTTTGTTTTTTTCCTTTAAATCAGGTCCTACGAACGTAGCCCTGGGTGCTTTCTGGCCTTTTATGCAGCTCAGGCCTCAAACTCAGTCCTCCTGATTCAGCCCCTAAATACTGGATTGCAGGCATGTGCCACCACACCTGCTTGAATTATTATTATTTTGTTGTTGTTACTGAACAACTATTATTATTTATGTTAAAGCTATATTAAGAAAAAATACATCTGTCAGCTGGGTGGTGGTGGCGCATGCCTTTAATTCCAGCGACTTGGAAGGCAGAGGTGTGTGGATCTCTTTGAGTTTGAGGCCAGCCTGGTCTACAGAGTGAGTTCCAGGACAGCCAGGATACACAAAGAAATCCTGTCTTGAAAAACTAAAAAAGTGTTACACTGGGTCTGGTAAAATGACAATCTTTAAATAATATAACCCCTATCGTGATACATTCATATAGTTTTTATTGATTCCAGTAAAAAAGAACTACCAAAATTCAAAAAACCCAGATGGCAAGATTGCTCAGCAGATAATATGACAACCTGAGTTTGGTCCCCAGAATCCACATAGTGGAAGGAAAAAAACCTATTCTCTCAAGGTGTCCTCCGGACTACATGTCATGACATTGCCCCCAACTGATAAAAAAATAAGTATAAATAATGGACAAGTTTCATCTATATACACAGTGGTAATCAAAATAAAATTATTTAAGAGTAAGAACACGAAACCAAACAACAAAACAAAACAAAAGCCAGGGAGTAGTGGTGCACCCCTTTACTCCCAGAACTCAGGAGGCAGAGAGGCAGGTGGATCTCTATGAGCTTGAAGCTGTGCGTTTGAGAACAGCCAAGGCTACATTAAACAACAACAACAACAACAACAAACCCTGTCTAAAAACACATCAAATAAATAAATAAATAAATAGGTAAATAAATAAATGAATAAATAAGAGAAAAAACAAAAAAGACAAAAGACAGAGCTTGCCAAGAAACATCTAAGAGTATTCAACTTTAGTAATCAAAGAGAATGCAATTAAAATCACTGTATATCAACACTCCATTACCATCAGAATTTAAAAAGCTAGACATTATCAAGAGTTGATTAAAAAGGGGGATCGAGGGGGGCTGAAGAACTGGCTCAGAGGTTAAGGGCACTGGCTGCTCTTCCAGAGAACTGGGTTCCATTCCCAGCACCCAGAGGGTGGTTCATAACCATCTGTAACTACAATTCCAGGGGATCCAATGTCCTCTTCTGCTCTCTGTGGGCATCAGGCATGCATGTGGTACACAGACATAAATTCAGGCAGAACACCTATATATGAAGGCTAAGTGCTACGTGACGTACGGCACACCTTTCATCCCAGCACAGGAGATCTGTGAGTTCTGGGCCAGACGGGTCTACACAGTGAGTCAGGGCAGCCAGACTACAGAGTGAGGCCTTGTCTCAGAAAAAAGCAAGTGGTAAAAAAAAAAAAAAAAAAATCAAAACTACACAAATATTACATCAATTCTAAACCCTCCCCCATATACAAACACGCACACCACACACATACACACACCCTGCAGTCTTTAGCATCTCTACAGTGGAATTGGGTTTTAAAACACATCATACGTGGATGCAAAGAAAAGAGCTCAGAGAGTCACAGCAAGCAGCTGTCATAAACGGAGAGGACTAGCAGTAGTTGTCATTTATTCCCTGTACTATTAACTACCACAGAAGATGTAGGGAGGACTTAATTGCTGAGAGGAAAAGCTTCTGGAGAAGAGAACTTTACAAAATTTCCCGTTTATGTGGCTTTTCTCTCAGCCTCTGATTTGCTCTGCTTGTCCCCAAACGAACTCCAGCAATCTTTTCTAATCTTCTGGCTCCTTCAATCTTCCCTTGAGTTCTTTCTCCTCAATCTGTCTCTCTACTACTGCCCCGGTAAAACTGTTTCTCTCTCTGTACTGCCCCTAAAGTAGCTTCCCTTTCCTTTTTCTTCATAGGAGAGTTGGGTGTGTCCTATTTTAAGTCTTTCTCTGATTTGTCACTGTTAGTGCCACTCAATTAGACATCACTTTCAAACAAGGATGCTTCCTTCTATAAACTAACTTTACCTTCATTGTTTGGGATTAAAGGCTTGTACCACCATGCCTGGATCTAAGCTTTTCTTTACCTGAAACTCAGATCTGCTTGCCTCTGTCTCCTGAATTAAAGGCATGCTTGTATTACAGCCAGATCACACAGACCTAGAAGATCTTTGGATGTGATCTCTTTCCAGCTGGATCACACAGATCTTTGGATGATCTCCTGCCAGAACAGCCATGTTCTGAATCAACATTCCTCTACACCCTTTAACCTACATAATATCTTTTTAATATTTACTCAATTTAAGAGCCCTGTAGACAGATTAGGCCACATGCCAATAAATTATTTCCCTTAATCCCAGCACTCAGGAGGCAGAGGTAGGCAGATCTCTGTAAACTGAGGCCAGCCTAGTCTACATATTGAGTACCAGAACTGCCATAACAGAGATCCTATCTAAATAGTATTTTTTTTAAAAGGTTTATTTTTTTGTGTATGAGTATCTGTATGCATGTATGTATGTGCACAACATTTGTGCCTCATACCCAACAAAAGTCAAGAGAGAGCACTGTATCTCCTGGAAATGGGGCTGGGGGGTTGTGAAACACCATGTGGTACTGGGAGCAATAAGCACTCTTAACCACTACGCCATTTCTCCACCCCCATTCTCACTTACTTCTTTCAATACATTTAAATATTTTCTTAACATGATAATGCTTTAAAAGCCAACTTGGGGATGCCTATAATCCCAACACTCAGGGAGGCAGAGGCAGGCAGATCTCTGTGAGTTCGAGGCCAAACTGGTCTACAAAATGAGTTCAGGACAGCCAAGGCTATACACAGAGAAATCCTGTTTCAAAAAACCAAAAACCAACTTGGGGGCTGGAAAGATGGCTCATGGTTAAATAGCACTGGTTGCTGCTGTTCCAGAGAACACAAGTTTGAATCTGCATCCACATTCTTTTTCTGCCCTCTGCAGGCACCAGGAACGAAGTGGTACACATACATACATGCAGGCATACAAATCTAAATCAAACAAAACCAACTTGGATCTTTCTACTAGTCCTTCGTATTTTCATGCCAAAAATATTCAGCTAATAAAGTAACACAGTACTTTTGAATTCTTTCCTTCACTGTATCACCAGAAAGAGAGATTACCTATTTTCTACAGGGATTATCTATTATCTATAGGAATTATGTATTTTCACCTCCTGCAGTGGGAAGACTTGTCTGAAACCAGACAGAGACCCAACCTTGCCTCTTACAAGGAGTAACTGAGTGGCCTGGACAAGGTCCCTCAACTAAAGGATGCAGATTACATTAAGGTCTCATGGGAGGAGGACTGTGTAAAATAGTGTGTACGCAGCATTCACCTGACATCTAGTAAACATCTGCTCTGTAACTATGACAACATTAGTTTGAAGTCATAAATTAATGCAACCAATCTGCTAGACTAATGTAGAACAGCAATTAGAGGAGGAAAATCTAAACCCGGAATAACTCAACAAAAACAAAATATAATTCCCCAAGTTTACCCCATCCCAGAAGTATAAAGCTCTAGAATTCTTTAGGATCATAACATAAAAAGTGAAGAAAGCCAGCTTAATCTTGCTAAAATAGAATTAAGGGCAATTTCTTTCCTCCTTTGAAAAACCTTCACTGGTTCATCTAACAAAAAGACTAAACTACTTATAACTTCATCTAGTCCTTCCAGGATCTGAATTAGGTTTTCTCCTCTCTCCATCAAACTACCTCCTACTTGCCACTTCCCAGGCACACATGCCTGGTTCTATCCCCTCCCCACTGTCCCTTTTTAAAATGGCACTATTTCCTTGTCTGCAGTTGTCAACTGGCCCTTTAAGTCTTCCGACTGTGCCCCTCAAGAGCAAAGAGGACTGTACCATTCATACAGTAGTACCCCAACATTAAACCTTATCTATAATAAAGGTACAAAACCCCCTGACATTTAGATAGTAAACCACTAAGGGGCATTTTCACCTATTATTTTACACACCCCAATCCCTGGGGTGGAACTCAGGGCCTTGTTGTGTATGCTATGTGATGCTTTCGGAGCAAGCACTTCTCACTAACTTATACCTGCAGCCCACCATTTCACCTTCACTTAAGGAAAAAATTGATAGCTGTTGACACAGTAAACTCATCACTGGCCTATGATCATCACTATGACAAGCATGCAACACAAAACAGGCTCCCAGATTCCAGCTTACACTGTCACTGCTTTTCTTTCTTTCTTATTGGAAAAGGGAGGGGGCGGAATCTCATGTATCTATTCCAGAGTGGTCTTGCACTCACTATGTAGCTCAAGAGTGACCTTAAACTTCAGATCCACCTCCTGAATGCTGTGATTACAGGCATGCACCACCATGCTTTGCTTCTATGGTGCTGGTGTTGGAACATAGGACCTAAAGCCACATAGGCAAGCACCCAACCAACTGAGCAACATCCAGGGCACCTCCAGCTGTTTGCAACAGTAGATAATCTTGCTTTCAAGATATATATTTAGTCCATGGAAGAAAAAATGTCATTAAAATATTTGTGAGACACTGGCGCAAAACCATAAAACAGATCTGTCTACTGGACACAACTGATAAAAACATGGATGTATGAACACTACTGATAAAAACATGGACATATTTTGCTACAAAAAAAAAAAATACATTAAAATGAAGGCTGGAGTTGGGAGAGATGACTCAGTGTATAAAGCGTTTGCTGTACAGGCATGAGGACCTGAGTTCAGATCTCCTAAACCCACATGAAGAAATACATGGTAGAGAACATCTATAAACTCAGTGCTCTGACAGAGAGGTTAAGACAAGAAAACCTCCAGAAGCTCATGCGGTGGGTAGGTTGGTACACAAAGCAGCAGAGATCCAGTCTCAATGACCATCACACAAGGTTGTCATGTGACCTCCATACACAGAAAATGCACATACACCCACCCACAAAGAAACAAGGGCAGCATTGCTGGATTCACCCGTTTCTGTTAATTCGCCTGTATACCCTTTTTCTCTTCCAATTAGTGCCTGATACACTGCCAGCCTTTCATTATTATCTCAAATAATAATCCACAGAGAACACAGAAAGGTAGCTTTGAATAGCTAAACAGCTATTTTAAGTGCCTGGACATAGTTTGAGCAACATTTAGGAACTGAGCAAACCACCCTTATCACTGCACTTTCTGTAAGGTGACTAATAACGTAGGCCCCTCAATATGGGTTCCCTGAAGACTCTTGCCTCCCAAAAGTCAATTTAAAACAACCCATTTAGACCACTAAACCTTAAATGTGAGTCATCTTGTGTCACTAACTCCCCAAGCCAACTGGTAACACAGTAAAGGCTGAACTTGTGCAACGGAAATGAACAGTTCGAGGGTAAACTTTTTAAATTAAAAAAAAAAAAAGTACAACAAATATAAAAACAACCATTTAATGTTCTGGAAATTTTCATAAAATTTCACTAGTTTGCACAATTAAAGTTATTTTAAAATGAAATTATTTTAAGAAGGATTACTACAATGAATAACAACTTCAGCTGGTAAAATATGTAATCTGAAAGTACATTCTCTGGGAAAACTGTCATAAATATGCTGTTCTGGAATGCTTCTGGAACCTAGCAACCACTTTTTAAAGTTTCATTTGCACTTATCTCTTTCTCTTTGCTTTGCCACTAAAAACCTAAATATCTTTAAGAATCAAGACTGTCAAACTATTTCCCACTAACCAAATCTTGACTTTATCTCTACTTTTAACTACGTGAATCACCCAATTTAAAAAGAGAAGAAAAAAGGAAGAAAACCACCACACACAATTTTGTTTTAAAAAACAGTTATTTGTGCGGGGGGGGGGAGGGGAGGTTGAGAATGAGAATTTTTGGAGCTTACTCTTCAGAATTCACTTACAAGCTAAAATTTCAGAACCGCTTAGAATTTTTTGGAACATCATGGCCACTGTTTACTTACACAAGCAAAAGGGAATTAATTTAGCATTTTATTTTATCTTTTACCATCAGTCCTATACATAATCACGGCTTTCAAGGCTAGAAAAGGTATGTGGGGGACCCATACACAATTTTCTTCCACTAAGAAAGCTTTTAAAGAATCGCTTTGATGTGGTGAGTCATGGGAAACGGGGGGGGAAAAAATCGATGAAGAGCAAGAAAAAGGAGAAATCCATCCCAGAATAGCCCCTGGAAGCGCGCGCTCATGCTCCCACTCCAGCTCATGGAAACCAGAGAACTTAAACCCGGTACAACGCCCCAGCAACCTCAGGAGACACGGGCTGCTATACCCGGGTTCCTGGTCCCTCAGGGGTGTGACCGGGGGCCACGACCGGTAGTGACAAACTCTTGGTGCCACCAAGGACGGAGCCGCGCTCCGGTCACCCCCGGCCTAGCTCGGGTGGGTGGGGCACGCATGGCCGGCCCGCGGCCCCGCAGAGGCGAGTGACCCGCTCACTTTTGAAGAAGCGCAGCGCCAGGCCGTACAGCTCCTCCAGGCCGAAGCCCCAGTGCTGCTCCATCCGCCGCGCCTCCTCGGCCGCGCCCTCGGCCGCCGCCTCCCCGGGCTCCCGCGGCTGCCCCGCAGCGCCCGAGCCCTGGCCAGCCCCGGGGGGCGAGGGCGGCGGCGGCGGCGGCAGCAGGGGCGCACCCTCCGCGCCGGGCCGCTCCTCCGAGTCCGGGCTCAGCGTGAGGCCGTCGAGCGACACCTCGAGTTGCTCTACGTTCAGCTGCGCCGCCATCTCCGCTCGCAGCGCCTCCTCGGCGGGGGACAGGCGGCGGCCACGTATCGACTTCCTGCCGACCTCTCACCTCCGCTCGCCGACACCGGAACTTCCGCTGCCGAGGCGGCTCGGCGTGAAGGGGCCCGGCGCCCCGCCCCCGAGCCTGTGGGTCACGCCCCTCCCGCGTCTTCCGCTCGCGGGGGCCCCACGCCCCTCTCGGAGCTCTCCCCGACGCGCTGCCGGGGCGGTTCTCCCGGGGTGGGTCCCGCGGGGGTCGGGAGGGTCCGCGCTGGTGGGGGGGAGCACACGCCGCCGTGCTGAGCGGGCGGTGGCTGAGCGCGCGTCCCGGGGTTGGCAAACCTCTCTGCGCAGCGACTCTGAGGAGATGCTGGGCAGATGCCCGTCCTTAAGTGGAAACCGGCATTCCTCCCCCAGAGCATGCGCCCTCTCTTTCCCTTAATTTATGTTCGCTCCGCCAGGGGAGGGAACGGTTGGCTGCGTTTTGGCTATGTGGCTCAGGCTGGCGCTGACCTTATTACTCTTTAGCTCAGCTTGGCCTTTTGTCTGTCCTACCTCAACCTCCCAAGTGCTTTGACTACAGGTGCGTGCCACCAGGACCAGCGTTCAGGACAGCGAGAGGCCAGCTCAGCTATCCACGCTGCGAAAGTATAGGGTCAGAGGACAGAATCTCAGCGGCGCCGGGTTCAGGAAAGTGCGAAAGTAGCGAAGGAGAAACAGTCTTGAGAGGACATAGCGGTCTCTTTGTCTCTTCTTGATTTTGGTGCAGGGTTGAGAGCTACATGGCCCTGGCTGGCCTGAAACTCACTGTGGACACAGAGATACACCTGCCTCTGCGCCCGAGTGCTGGGGTTTTTGGTTCCATAGCAGAGTCTTCCAATCATTAAAAGTAAAATAAATAAATAAATAAATTTAAGGGAAGAAATTACAAGCTTTTTGTGTACCGTAGACTGAGCAAGCGCCCCAGCCTCGGAGTGTTTTATTGAGTTGAATGACTGAATGACGGCATACTTCCATTACAGGGAGTACCAGTTCGGCCCAACACGTATTTAAGGACTAGCTTGTTACCAGGTACTGTGGGAAATACAAAGGTAGCAGTGTCCAACCCCAAGGCATCATGGTCCAGGAGGTGAGCCCATGCCGGAGCACTGTAGTAGGGCCAGGCTGCTGGAAGGTACTGCTGCATCAGTGACCTCAAGCAGGTTCCCCAACTTCTGTTTCCTCTCTGCCTCTTAGTTTGTTGAAAAGACTGCACCGATGAACCTATGTGTTAGTGTGTTTTTCAAGAATCTACGGGAAATCTCTAGACCTACTAGTCCCACCTCGAAATTTCTGTCACCTCTGTATAGTGCCAACTGGAACCAAGACTTTAACACGTGGGCATTGGGGGGACATTACATTCCCAAAATAACGGCGATATGTAAAGCATTTAGAAAGGGGGCGGGGTTATGCCTGTAATTCCAGTACTCTGGAGGCAGCGACAGGACAGCCAGGGCTACACACAGAAACCCTATCTTGAAACAAAACATAACAAAAACCAGAAAGGCCCTGCTGGATGATAGCTTTCAATACAATGAGGTCACTACCACATGCAACATTAAAATCCACAGGATAGAGTCTGCCCTTGGACTTGAATTGGTATTCTACTTTAAATTTTAATTGGGTGTATACTTTAAATTTGAACCATTTGGTGTCATGTTAAAATTTAGATTTGTTTTGTTTTTTTCGAGACAGGGTTTCTTTGTGTAACCTTGGCTGTCCTGAAACTCTGTAGGCCAGGATGGCCTCAAACTCAGAGATCTGCCTGCCTCTGCTTCCCGAGTGCTGGGATCAAAGGCCTGCTCCACAACCAGTGGCAAAATTGTGACATCATCAGATTTCTGGCTTACCTTAAAATTAATCAATCTAGTGATTGTGAGCCTAAGACTATTAAGACTGGGTGCTTAATGACATTAGTCAATGCTATGAAGAGGTCTTGAAATGAGACCTAAGTTCACAGCCATGCCTGTCCTATGTGACAAACACTGTCTAAGCCGTTATCACAGGCCATAAACATGACAGATTGAAGTTGTTACCTGTCTGGTCACTTCTCTTAGTCTGTTTGTACACTGTAACTACACACCACAGACTGGGTGGCTTATAAATAACCATTCTTTGTCACAGTTCTGACAGCTGAGGTGTTCAGGATCAAGATACTGGCTGTTTTGAAGGCTGGTTGCTGTGAAACAGTTTCATCCAAAATTAAAACCTTCAGTCCTAGGGGAGCTCAAGCAGGAAGGTAAACAACTGAAAATGGCTTCAGAAGTTCCCGAAACTGACCAGACTCACTAGGCCCCTCCCTGCCAGAGTAAACAAAAAAAGCTGAGAGTTCCCTTCAGGTCAAAATAGATCTGAGCTAGGAAAAAGACTCTCAGACACACTGCAGAATCAGCTGTGGTACATAGAAGGACCGTCTCAGGCTGTGCAGTGAGCTCCAGGTCCCCAGCTTTGTGGGCCGTCACCCAGGCTGGGGTGGGCTTTGGTGATGCAGCTGTCTTTGAGCCGTTCCTGCTCCTATAGTAACCCCTCACCCACATTCCTGTAACTAACCCCAGTAAACCTCATTAGTTCCCCAAGTTGGACTTTGGTCTAAAAACACCACAGCAGGTGTGTGTTTCTGTGTGTGTGTGTCGTATGGCTTCTTCAGACAGAAGAAAGAAGCTGGGCATTGTGGCAAATAGCTGTTATCCCGGCACATAGGAGCTGAATGCAGAAGGACCAAGAATTTAAGGCCATCCTCTGCTACAAACTAAGTGTAAGGCCAACCGGGGCTCCCTGAAGCCGTCCTCCCCCTCTCTCTTTTCACACTGCACATACACACACACACACACACATACACACCCCTGCCTTGCTATCACTATCTAGAAGAGCTCATTTTTACCCTGGTTTTATCTTGCACTATTAGTGGGTTTAGCTTAACTTATCTGTTCAAAAGTGTTCCAGAAGCTCTACCAGATAAGTGATAAGAAGTCGTTTCCCAGTAGCTGGCACTGTTCCTCTCTGCCTGCTTGTACAGAACATTCTCTCTCCCCCACCTCACCTCTCTCTCAACAGCTTTCTTGTATATCTCCAGTTGACCTTAAACTCACAGAGTACCCCAAGCTGGTCTCAAACTTAGGCAATCCTCCTGCCTCAGCCTACTGATTGCTGATGTTACTGGTGCGTGCTACCACACAGCTCTTCAAGCTGTCCTATGACTTCCACATACATACCAAGGCATCCGAATCCCCCCTATAAATAAATAAACAAATATTATTTAATCCATTACACCACCTAATTTCTAAACTCAGCATACCATAGGTATCTCTACATGGGGAAAAAGGGCCGATACATTCATTCCCTCTCTTCAGCCCTCCCTCCCTTCCTTCCTTCCTGCTTGCTTTCTGAGACAGAGTCACACATAGCTCAAACTAGCCTAAAACATGGTATTTATTGAAGCATGGCACTGAACTATGCTTTTTACTTATTTGTATATGACAGGAAGCATGTTGGGGAACAACTTGTTCTCTTCTTCCATGTGGGGCTCAGTGGTCCAACTCAGGTTGTCAGCCTTTACCCACTGATACATCTCACTGGCCCAGCATGAAACCCTTGATCCTTGTTGCCTCTACCTCCCAGACTTGTGCCACCATATTCAGTTTTTGTTTGTTTTTTTTGTAAACATGGTCTCATCCAATTCATCCAGGCTGGCTTCAAACTTCTGGGCTCAAGTCATCCTCTTGCCTCTGCCTCCCCAGTAGCTGGGACCACAGACTACAGTCACGGCACTTGGCTCAAAATGTTCTTTTTGTTTTAAGGATTTGAGGTTTTTTATTTGTTTACTTATGTGTATGTGTGGGGGTGAGTGCCTGAAGAGGCCAGAAGAGGGTGTTGGATCCTTGGGCTCCCTATGGCTGGAGTATCGGGCGGTTGTAACCTGTCTGGCGTCATTGCTGGGAACTGAATCAACTCTGGTCCTCTGTGCAGTAACAAGTACTCTAGCTGGCCGAGCCACCTCTCTAGCCTCTCCAAACATTCGTAAAAGCCACGGCCCATTACAACATTATGGATGTGTTGTTGTTGCTTGAGACAGGCTGTTCCAGAACTCATCCTTAGACCAGGCTGGCCTTCAACTCACAGAGCTCTACCTGCCTCTGCCTCCAGAGTGCTGGGATTAAAGGCGTGCACCACTGCCCGGCCTCATTATGGATATTTTTTTTCATTTTAAAATATAAAAGTGATGACAGGCATTGTAGTACAGTCCTTTAATCCCAGCACCCAGGAGGCCGAGGCAGATAGGTCTCTGTGAGTTGAAGGCCAGCCCGTTCTACATACTAATTCTACTTTAGCCAAGGCTGCCTACCTGTCTCAAAAATACAACAAAACCGAAACCACAAAAGGAAGAGGAGGAAGGGAGGGAGGAAGTGGATAAAGGGCTTTTTTCTAGAGTTCCATTCTAGATCTCTAAGGCCAAAGTTTAAGCCTCAAGGTCCCTCTGCGCCACCTGCTGCCCAGCGGCGGAAGTGCTGCATCTGCTGGGCAGATTTGGGCTGTCAGATCTCTCTACCCACCCACTCCTGGTGGGAGAAGATAGGTAAATCTGCAAGGAGAGGCGAAGCACTCTGCTGTAGACATAACTGGGAGCCAAACAAGCCCAGGAAGGCACTGATCGGCCCCAGGCAGTCTCTATGGAGGACATTTTTCTAAATGTTCCTAATAAGAACTAACGTTCAACAGGACATGGTCGTAGGACTTAAGCTTCTCTGTGTGTGTGTGTGTGTATCTGTTGTGTGTGTGTTCATTCGTGTGCATGTGTCTGTGTGTACGTATGTGTGGATATGTGTATGTGTTGCCTGCACAGGGATGTGTGAGGGGTGCACACTGGAAGCCAGAGACGAGCATAGCGTGCCCTCTTCATCACTGTTGACCTTTCTCTTTTGAGACAGGGTCTGTCTCGGCACCCGGAGCTTGGTTGGCTGCCAGCAAACCCCGAATCCTTCTGTATCAGTTCCCACAGCACACACAACCGTGCTGGCGTTACAGGTGAGCGCATGGACACACATAGGGTTTGTTGTTGTTTAGACAGAGTCTAACTGTGCAGCCCTGGCTGGCCTGAAATTCGCCAGATAGACCAGGCTGGCTTTGAAGTCACATGAGATCTGCGTTTGTCTGCACCCAAAAGCGCTGGGATTAAAGGTGTGCACCGCCACTGCCCAGCCTTATTTTATTTTCTTGTGTTTATGTGTATGAGTTTTTGCCTGTATGTATGTATGTGTACCATGTATATTCCTGGGGAGCTGCCATGTGGGCTTTAGGGATCAAACTCCGGTCCTCTGAAAGAGCACAAGTGCTCCTAACCTCTGAACCAATTTTCTATCCCTCAACTTTATATAATATATGTTCTAAGTCTATCTATTTTCCTGCAAAATTTTTTAAACCTCATTTTTCTTGAGCGCTAAGTAGGATTCCATTATACAGAGAGAGACCAGATTTTTATTATCCATTCATCTGTTGATAGACAACTATGTTGATTACAATTATTTGTTTTAGTGAACAGAGTAATTATAATTTTTGTTTTGTTTTGGTTTGTTTTTAGAGACAGGGTTTCACTCTGTAGACCAGGCTGGCCTCGAACTCATGAAGCTCTGCCTGCCTGTGCCTCCCAAGTGCTGGGACCAAAGGCATGCCCTCCCACTGCCTGGCTACAAATACAGTTATGAGCATTATAATTGTTCTATTTTTAATAATCATTTTAATCTCTTACATTGGAGCCAGGGAGAAGGATAAGATGGTAAAGGCACTTGCTGTGAAGCTGAACAAATTCAGTTTGATTTCTGGGACCCCCAGGTGGAAAAAAAGAACCCACTCTTCAAGCTGTCCTATGACTTCCACATACATACCAGGGCATCCGAATCCCCCCCTATAAATAAATAAATATTATTTAATCCATTACACCACCTAATTTCTAAACTCAGCATACCATAGGTATCTCTACATGGGGGAACAGGGCTGATACAGAGTTTAATTCTGCCTTAGATCTCCAGCATCTACCTCATACAGTGTAGTGGATGGTCCACATGGATTACTTTTTAGACGTCACAGCTGTCTAAGAAGGAAGAGTACAGCTAACTTTTTTTTTGGTACTGGTTCTCCAGCCCAGGCCTTACACATGCCAAGCAAGCACTCTACCACTGACCTACACCCCAGCCCTTTTTTGTATTTTTCATTTGGAGAAAAGGTCTCACTGAATTCCAAGACTGACCTTAAGCTTACTTTATAGCTTTCGTGGGTCTGGAACTTCTAGTCTTTCTGCCTCTGCCTCCTGAGGATTTGAAATTATAGATCTGTAAAAATAAGCTATTAGGCCTAGGTTATTTTTATTTTAAACTTCTTCTTTCCTTCTTTCCTTCCTTCCCTCCTCTCCTTTTCTTCTTTCTTTTTTTCTCCTTTCCTTCCCTCTCTTCCTCATGCTTTTATTCCTTTGTTTTCTTCTCCAGGAGACAGGACTTGGAGAAAGCTGATCTGGAACCTGCTATGTAGCCAGGATAGCTTTGACATTGAGATCCTCCTGTTTCAGCTTCTCAAGTGCTGAGATAATAGGGCTGCACCACCACCCCTGGCTTATAATCATCTTTTTTTTTTTTTTTTCCTAAAGTCTGTGGCAATGTTGCTTCCTAGTGCTCAACCCATGGTGGATACTAAATAAACACTTGTCCAGTAGATGAACAAATGTCCCATGCAGGTTAAGACCTCATTCTTACCTCATTTCCCTTCTGAGAATAGATAGACATTGTTTGTTTGTTTTGATACAGGGTTTCTCCATGTTCTGGATGTCCTGGAACTCTCTCTCTCTTTCTGTAGATCAGGCTGTCATCGAACTCACAGAGATCCACCTGCCTCTGCCTCCAAGTGCTGAGGTTAAAGGCATGCACCACCACCTCCCGGCTTCTGAGATTATTTTTAAAATTTATTGCATCAGCCCCTCAAATGTTCCCCAATTCTCAGAGAGCAGATTAAGTTACCAAATTATCTTAAAAGTAATTGTGTACAATTTCTCTCCTTCCAAAGTTCAACCATTTTCACCTATTCCTTTAAGAAAAATGTATTATTGGTCTCTCACAATTTGCACAAGACAAAGCAAAGAGCACACCTCTAAAAAAAATTTCCCTAAAGAAAGCATTCATTCAACAAATATTTGAGTACCTTTCACAAATTCAAGTACAAGCACTTGAGAGATTGAGGCAGTGGAATTACCATGAGTTTAAGGACAGACAGGGCTGCAGAGTAAGACCCTGTTAAAACGAAGAAAGAGGTGCAGACTGGAGGTGGGGAATGGTTATCCCTCAGTGGGCCAGGCTGTACACCCTAACCAGCATGGCCTTTAAGTTGAGAGCCTTTTTCCTCTGTCTCCTGATTTCTGGGCCCATCAGCTGTGCCATCTAACAGCTGGCTGCTGTGGGTGTTTATGTCTGTGTATTTATGTGTCTATATCTGTGTGTATGAAGTATCACTATATAGCCAGCTTGCTATGTAGACCAGGCTGGCCTTGAAATCTCCATTATCTGCCTAACTCTACCTTCCGAATGCTGGGACTAAAGGTGTGCACGGTGCCTGGCCAACACCCGGCTTCTTATCTTTCTTCAAAGTCTATGGCTTCGGTGCCTCCTGCTGCCTGACATATGCTCAGTGATGAATAAACATTTGTTGTGGATTAAGCAAACATAGTATACAGGTCATTTCCCTTCAGAGAACATTTCCTAAAGCCTCTTTGTCAAGCACATCATTCTTAGTAGCCTTTTTATCATCTCAAGGAAAGTCACCCATCCAGAAGTGTATTTACACAGTGACTTCAGAAGTGTCCTGATGACAATATAAAAGAGAAACACAGGGAAAGTGCTTATGAAAATGGTGAAATTTGTGCATGGTTCCTCTGACAACAATGAAAAGGAAAGATGCTTGACTTTCTCCACGGAAACATCAAGAAAACTTCTGCCACAGACGCACAGAGACAGCAGTGAGTGGTGTGTTGTGGGTGTGGCTTGAGTTTTTGGTTTTTGTCTGGGTTTAGTGGTTCTAGGGATGGAAGCCAGCCTCACACATGCTAGGCAAGTGCTGTACCACTGAGTTGTGTACCCTAGCCCAGGGATATGATTATTTAAATTACAAATAATCCCTAAGGAAAATAAAAGTTTATATAGTTGACCCTTCACTGGAAATTTTGACGTACATTAAAACCATGCACAAGCTGGGCAGTGGTGCTGCACGCCTTTGACCCCAGCACTTGGGAGGCAGAGGCAGCAATTTCTGAATTCGAGGCCAGCCTGTTCTTCAGAGTGAGTTCCAGAACAGCCAAGGCTACACAGAGAGACCTGTCAGGAAAAACCAAAACCAGCCAACCAACCAAGGAAGCCATTTGAAAGTTCACCATGTTAATCTGTGAAATGCAAGCCCTGTTCTGAGGCCATCACAGACTTTTTCCTCTGTGACTGGCAGGGTGATGGTGGGTGAGCCAGTCTGTGCGCCATGGGTCCTCTGCCACCCCCAGGACTGAGCAAGGCCAAGTCTTCTGCCCCTAGAGAACGCTCTGTGAGAATGCTGGGGGCCTGGGAGAGAGGCTGCCTCTGGTCTGGCTGCCAACTCGCTGCATATCTTCTACCAGCAGGAAGTCAGACATCCAGGGGAATGTGGTGTGCAAGCAGCAGCCAGGCCAGGGTGCTGGCCTCCCAGGTGTCAGACATCAGGATTCTGGCTGGGGCAGAGACAGAGGTGCTAAACAGACGGAGCACCAATTATAAAAGACATAGAATAAGTACTAAAGGCACAGGCCACCAAGCCTCCCCAATAGTCTTGTGTGTCAAGATGCATCTATTTATATTTTTAAAGACGCAATATTGTTGTTGTTGAATTCTCCCGAGCGCTGGGACTAACGGTGTGTGCCACCACACCCGGCCCTTTTTTCATTTTCTTTCATTTTATTTTAGACAAGATCTCACCAGGCTGGCCTTGAAGTGACTAGGATGACAGATGACCTCAGACTTCAGTATTGCTAATTTAATTTTATCACTTAAAATTTTTTTTTTGGCAATTATATAGGTTTCTCAAACTTCTGATCCTTCTCCCTCTCCCTCCCAAGTACTGAGATTAGAGGCATGTTCCACGCTTCCATGGTTTTATACGGTGCTACATGGTTCAGCCCAGAGCTTCATATATGCTGGCAAGTACTCTGCCTACATGCCCAGTCAGCCAAGCCATTTGTTTTTTGTTTTTTTTTTTTAAGACAAGGCCTTCTGGGTAGTTTTGGTAGGCCTGGGACTGGTGTTCACTATGTGGCCAAGCTGACCTCAAACTCATACCAATCCTCTGCCTCAGCTTCCTGAGTGCTAGGAGCAGAGGTATAAGCCATCAAACCCTGCTGCTTTCTTCTCTCCTCTTCTTCCTCCTTTTCTTCCTGCTCTTCCTTGTCATCATCCTCACCATCATTCTTTTCTATAAACAAGATGGAGTCTCACTAGATTACCCAGACTGGCCTCCAACCCTTGGGCACAAGGAATTTTCCTGCCCAACCTCCCAAATAGCTGGGACTACTAGTCCTGTCCCCTTGCCTTGCTGTGAGAGCCCCAGAGAAAATAACCCAGAGAGGCCAGACACTGAGGTCAGGCAATATTTTCTTCTTGTTATGATTTTATCTCCTTTGAATTTTATTAATTATTTTAAAAAATATTTATTTATTTTATGTGCATTGGTGTTTTGACTCCATGTATGTCTGTATGAGGGTGTCAGATCACCTGGAACTGGAGTTGCAGACAGTTGTGAGCTGTCATGTGGGTGCTGGGAACTGAACCCACAGACTCTGGGAGAGCAACCAGTGCTCTTGACTTAGCCGTCTCTCCAGCCCTGAATTTTATTAATTCTTATTCTTCTTCTCCTCCTCCTCAACTGTGTTTCTCTGTGTAGCCTTGGCTGTCCTGGGCTCGCTTTGTAGACCAGGCTGGCCTCAAACTCACACAGATCACCCTGCCTCTGCCTCCCTGGGTGCTGGGATTAGAGGCATGTGCTACCATGCCCAGCTTGAATTTTATTAATTCTTAATAGTCTTTATAATTAAGTAATTCAAAATGTCATGCATATTCATAAATACAAAATAAAGTGGGGAGATGCTCAGGGTGCAGCCGCTGCGCACAGGCAAAGGGCGCACGTTGGGCTCTCCAGGATCCACGGAAAGACAAGCGCACCTCTGTAGTAACCCCAGCACTGTGGAGCAGAGGCAGGCAGCGCTCACGGGTCTAGCTGAAGCGGTGAGGTCCAGGTTCCTGAGAGACCCTGTCTCAAAACATAAGGTGGTCTGGGGTGATGGTTCAGGGGTTCAAGCACCTGCTGTGTGAGTATAAGACTTCTCAGCCCCTAGCTGGGTGTGGTGGCCCATCTGTCCTTCCAGCCTGGGACAGTGAAGATGATTGTGGACATCAACTGGGGCCACTCTATACACACAGATGTGAGCATATACCTCCCACACATGAAAAACATATACACGAGCACTCCACTCCGGAGCTCAAAAATAAATATCTTTCACACTGACTTATAGTTAATGCAATTGGTTAATCCCTCTGTGAGTTAGAGGCCAGCCTGGTCTACAGAGCAAGTTCCAGGACAGCCAGGGCTACATGGAGAAACTGTATTTCATCCCCTCCCCCAATATTTAATGTTATAGCTTCTGATACATTCACTTCTTGGTTACAGAATAACATATTTTTGAAAAAAGAATTTGCACGAAAATGAGCCTATAGTGATTCAGGCCTGTAATCACAGTGACTCTGGAGGCTGAGGCAGGAGGATTACAAGTTCAAAGCAGGCCTGGTCTAGAGAGGAGTGGGAGGCCCGGGTGGGCAAATTAGCCAGATGTTGTCTCAAAATAAAAAAAAAAAAAAAACCCCAAAAGAGGGCTGGAGACACAGGTTCAGTCCCCAGCATCTCACCCATGATAACTATGTGAATTAGCAAATATTAACGTGAAAACTGCACACAGCACCCACCATAGGAGTGTGAGAGAAAGCAAAGCTTCCCTTAGCACCTTCGACTTCACTCTTCCAGAGATGAGAATTCTCTGTCTCTGAAACTTCCTGATGCAGATAAACACATGTATGTAGACATCTTGACGCAAATAAGCACATGTATGTTGACATCTTGTAATTTCTTTTTTCTTGTACTTTTCCCCCACCTTCTTCATATTTTATTTAGTTTTTGAGACAAAGTTTCCTTATGTAGCTCAGGTGAGACCCCAAATCCAAATCCTCTTTCTTCAGCTTCCTCAGTATCTGAGATTAGAGGCATGCATCACCGCACCTAATTTAAACTCTTTCTTAAAGCATTTTAAAAGTTTATTTTTATTTTTAGTTCTGTTTATAGAGAGAGCATGAGCTTGTGTATGTGAGTGTAGTGCCTGCTGAGGTAAAAAAAAAAGGTTGGGATCCCCTGGAACTGGAGAAACGGGCAGTTGTCTGGTATCTGATGTGGGTGCTGGGAATGGATCACAGGTCCTCTTAACCACCAAGCCATCTCTCCAGCTCCACAAATGCACTATACACCCTGCGTGGCAACTTACTCTTCATTGACCCTCTTGGGAGACCTTTTTCTGTGACAGAATACCGAAGACCACACATCTGTTGGCCAGTTTACTTCACCAGAGTTTCAGAGACAGCGCTTGTATCCTAGGGACGTGACCTGGCCTACAGCAGACAAGCATATGAATTCACCTTTGCTGAGAAGACGCTCAGACACCCCTGGGGATGAGCACAGAGACATGTCACGAAGGTGTTTGTGTTGGATGATGAAAAAAGAACAAAGTCAGGCTGTGGTGGCATATGCCTTTAGCCTCAGCACTGGGAGGTGGTGTGGGCCATTGGCAGGCAGATCTCTGTGAGTTCAAGGCCAGCCTGGTCTACAGAGTGAGTTCCAGACTACACAGAGAAGCTCCATCCCCTGTCAAGACGGGGGAACCCATCATGGCAGGTAAGGAGATCTCCACGGAGAGCGATAGGGCTTGATGCCAAGTTCAGCAGGGCCAAGTGCGCACGTGCAGCCGTGGAGCAGGCCAGAGGGGGTGGGTGCGAGTCCACCAGAGGAAGCATCAGAGGTTAACCTGACCAAGCAGGTTTCCTGCTGAAGATGGACCAGTACAAACAGTCACCACCCACCTGGTGGATGGAGGAGAACTGAGTATCATTTTTGCTTACTGTGACAACACGCCTAACAAGATCAACTCATTAAAGACACTGAAGGTTTCAGCCGGACGTGGTGGCACACACCTAGAGTACCAGCACTCAGGAGGTAAAGGCAGGGAGATCTCTGAGTTCGAGGCCAGCCTGGTGTACATAGTGAGTTCCAGGACAGCCAGGACCATGTAGAGAGCCTGTCACGAAGAAGATGAGGAGGAGCAGGAGGAGAAGAAGAAGAAAAGAGGTTTCATTTGGGTCAGAGTTTCAATTAATGATCAATGGGCTTCATTCTTTTGTTTCTTTTTTTAAGGATTTTTTTTTAAGCAGACATGACTGTCCTAAATTGTTTATTGAGCATGAATTTTACAAACATTACCCGTATTAGCGGTAACGGTGGAGCTGGAGAGTGTTGCGCCTTCTCCAGGCTGCGCGGTGAGCGCCACCAATAGTGTGGTGGAACTTGTGGCCCTTTTGGAGGCCAGCAGATGTCAGACCACGCATCTCTCTGTGTTTGTGGACTGGTTTGGTGATCCACTGGGTGTCAGGACTTCTGATAGCTTTATGGAATGGATCAATGAGGATAACCTCAAAAAATTTGTAATGTGGAATCTTCACCGACCCAGTAAGAATTCAGGACTCTCAAAGCCCCGCAGTGGCATCCAGCTCTCTCCTCAGCAACAGACTGAAGGCTTCAGGCAAATTTTAGCTGGTTAGCACCATGGTGGACAGGCTTACCGTAAGTTGCACCCTTAGGAACTGGGCATTTGCGGTCACCACGGCGGACACGAATCCTTATCAGGCCGAGTGGGGCGGAAAGCCCTGTGCAGCGCAGACAGCGGGCGGTACTGCCAGCAGCGGACCCTCAGAAGAAAGCGCATCACGTCCGACTGCTCCTTCCTCCACAGCTCCTGGATGTACTTGTATGCACCCATCCTGGCTCACCTGACGGCTCCCGCCAGAGGAAAGGAAGAAGCCTTTCTCCCACAATCCCTTTTGTGGCTCCTCCTCCACCTCGGCCACCCTTCTTCCGCTCTTAAAGATTTGTTTTATTTTATTTTATTATTTTATAGGTACGGGTATTTGCCGGCATGCGTACATGTACCACGTGGATGCCCATCGCCTATGAATTCCCTGGAACTGGAATTACAGACGGTTGTAAGCTGCCATTGTGAATACTGAAAGTTGAACACCTACCGTTCCTAACGGTACCGTTCCCCCTTGGGCTGGCTCCCTTGTTTCCAGGTCTGTGGCGAAGCAGGACCTCATGGTGTAAGAGTTTGATGGAACAGAGCTGCTTCCCTCATGGCAGCTGCGGGATGCGGGGAGGAGAGGAGAGAGAACATGATATACCCCGAAGGTCTTGTTCCCAGCATTCTCCTTCCTGCGTTCAACTCCACTCTATCTCCTCCTGAGTGTCCATTGCCTCCTAACCACTCATCATATCATGAGCTAGTCAGTGGATTCACCCACTGACACCGCCCTGATGATTCAGCCATCTCCCAGGAGACTTACCTGTGATCGTCGCTGCAGTGGGGGCCCAGGCTTTCAACACACAAGACCATAGGGGTCTTTTCAGGTGCAAACCAGAACAAATGACTGAAATGTTCAGATATCAAGGGCTGGAGGTTTCTGCCTCTGCCTCCTGAGTGCTGTGATTATGGCTCTCAGGAAAGGTTTTCAATGTATATCCAGGCTAGCCTTGAAGCGCCAGCTCCATTGAGCTTCCTGTCCCAGGCTTATGGTAGTAGCTCAGACTACTAACTAGTACCACAGAGAGCACATGGAGGTCAGAGGTCAATCTTCAGGGGTCAGCGCTCACCTTCCGTCTTGTTTGAGGCAGGGTCTCTCTTGTTACTGCTGCTTGGGCAGCTACACCAGGCTGACTGGCTGATGAGCTGATTTTGCTGTCTCTGTTTCTCATGAAGGAGTGCTGAGGTTATTGTCAGCCAGCTTGGTACAGGGGTTTCCTAGATTTGAACTCGGGTTGTCAGGCTTATGATTATGCTGCAAGAACTTTACCCACTAAGCCATCTCCCAAGCCCAGCTCTGTGGTTGTTTGTTTAATAGGCTTTTTAAATGATTTAATAGTTTGTTTAAGCAGATGGGGTGAGTGAAACTAAGAACTAGTAGAAAGATTACAATTGTGGCTTTCAGGTCTGTCGTGCTTTGTCTTCTAATGTGTAGTTCAGAGATATAAATAATAAGTGTGTGTTCTAGGGCTGAGTGTGCGGTTCAGCTGTAAGAGCTTTGTCCAGGGTCCAAACATGCCTCTGAGTTTGGGGACAGCTGTGCTCGGTCTCTCCTTTGCCTGGAAACTGAACTTCATGGGTGAATGTGGGGCTCACTTGGGACCACTCTTCTGGTCCCCAAGTCTCGTACTCAGGCCCCCCTCTCAGGGAAATGACAGATTTCATCCCTGATAAGGGCCCTCCAGGCTTCGGCACCCTCACGCCCTAGGTGTGGCTGATGGCATGGTAATTCTCCGCCAGCACCTCTCCAGGTGGCTTCACAACTACCCGTCAGCTGACCACTTCCTCCAGCCAGGGCCCCCAAGAGCCTTTCATCCCCCCACAGCCTTTCATCTGAGCCTTTTAAAGTAAGTGAAAAGTTGCAGCGACCAAAGCCCGCAGGGAAGTAGGGAAGGAAACAGGTACGCTTCCTTAAGCGGCTAAGAGTGGCAGTCTGTGCCCTGCTCCAGGCTGCAGAGTTGCCAATGCGTGGCCGGGTGTTTGGTTCCTCTGAGAACAGACTAGTTGAGAGACATCCTCGTGGGGCTGAGGGAAGCCCTCTGTGTCTTCCAGGAAAGTGGCGAACCAGACATAGTCTCGTTCTTGGATGGGCTCTGATGTACCCTCTCTACTGTAGCAGGCTGAGTGGGCGCTTTCCTCTCTCCCTCTGCAGCCTCATGAGCTTGAGGCCCCAGATCCTCCTACAGCCACTGCCTCAACCTCCGAGGCCAGACCTGTCCTGAGATCTCCTGAGCCTGGAGTGCCTCCCACCAGGAGCTCACAGACCAGATGGAAGCCCAAACCAGCCCACCTGGAGGGGGGGGGCACCTACTTTGCAAAGCAGTGGGCTTTGTACATGAGACGTGTCAGACTTGGATGGCCTGGGTGGGCACTTTGCCAGGGGCCTAGCCAGGTGGTGGTCAGGGTAGGTGATGGAGCTGTAGGCTAAAGTAAATATGAACAAGTCATCCAGGATCCCTCAGCCTTCAGCCTCAGTACTAGGACCTGATCTCACATACAGAGGACCAAAACGAACACCATAAGCTGGGAGTTGTAACACACAAGCAGTGGATCGCACCAGGGTGAGGCCCAGGGAAGCCAGACAGCTTAAACAGCCCTAAAGGCAAGCCTCTCTGCTCCACCAGGGCACACTCTGCAAGCCAGAGTTTGCAGAGGTTAAGGGGCTAGCTTGAGGGCTGACGACTGATAAGGGCTTGCAAAATAACGAATCCTAAACTCTGTGATGTTCATGTTGTGGAGTCCTGATCTAGAGACATAGGAATGGCTGGCGTTGGAAGGCTGAGTACCCTGCAGAAGACAATGACCTGCTCTTGGGAAAAGGGTTCACACACCCTCACTTCTGTGTGGGACCAAGCCCCAAGGTCAAGAACTCAGTTGAGTGACTGTGTAAATGGAGGGGGAGTCCCTGGGATGGAGCACTGAGGAAGGATATCCTCACAGGGATGGAGCTGTAGGCTGGTAGCAGGGGGGAAACCTTTACAGTCTTGGGTGGATGTTCCTAGTAGGCTCATCAGCCCCTCCTCCTAGGCCCTGGCTGCCCCTGCCCCTCAGCCCTCGGACTTCAGCCCTCACAGGGCCCCAGGAAACAAACACACACCTGTCCCCAAGCCATGTGTTCTTTTAAACTTACTTGTTCTCCTAGATGCCCCAGCTGTATCTTTGGATCAAGATAGGTGACCCCAAAGGCCGCAGTCCACACACTCTTGCTTAGGGACCTGCTGGAGCAAGAATTCCAGAGCAGGACTGGCCTCAGCGTGCAGGGTCTTCCCCAGTTCCCTGGAGATCCAGCTTCATTCCACATCTCAGTCCTTTCAAATCTAGAAAATGCCAAAGATCACAGGAGTGTAAGGCACAACTGCCTTCTCCAATGCTTCAAATGGACATAAGTAAAGGTAAAAGTACCCTGCCTCACTCAGTCCCCTTCTCCCCGAAGATCTGCATATATCATATATGCAGATGGTGGGTTGTACAAAATTTTCTTTTTGGTTTTTCTTTTCTTTCCTTCTTTCTTTCTTCCTTTATTTGTGTATTTTTCTTTATGTATTATTTATACAGCACTCTGCCTGCATGTGTACCTGTGCACCAGAAGAGGGCACCAGATCTCACTATGAACCACCATGTGGTTGCTGGTAATTGAACTCAGTACATTTGAAAGAACAGCCAGTGTTCTTAACCTGTGTCATCTTTGTAGCCACTATCTATCTATCTATCTATCTATATATATATCTATCTATATATCTATTTATTTATTTATTTATTTATTTATTTATTTATTTATTTATTTATTTATTT